AAGGATTAGGACTCATTCCTGCACCACTATATAATAGAATCATGTGTTCAGCAGATATCATGACATTTGAATTATTGAATGATGTAATAAGCTAACCAACGCATCCAACGCATGTCACCTCTGAAACTACAAGCATAGATTCATTTCATGTTGGCACCTGTATATTTAAAAATTGAAATATTAGGAGATTAGGAAATGATGCTTCAGCGAAATAAGTTAAAAGCTGTGCGTGTCTGTGTTGCAGGTGCGTTTGTGGACGGGCTGGCTGCGGGGGACATTGAAGAATCACTGCAGCCGATCTCAGCGCTCCGCCTGCTGGTTCACTCTGACGCTGACGTCTGGGCTCTGCTGAGCGAGGTCTGAGAGCATCGTGTGTGTTCTTATATACACCACCCATCTAAACAGCAGCGCTGTGAAGGATATGTGCAATGTGCATATTATAAAGACTAAACATTAAGAGTTATATGAAATGATTAAATACATAGAAACACATTGACAGCCTGATACATACATGGACACTTATTCATTAGAACATACAGCCAGGATCTTTCCAAATCCCCTCCACATGGGAACAGATACCCCTTTACCATTTAAATAACAACAATGGTGGACAGTGTGGAGCTGTGCTCATGATGCTGATATTCTTACAAAGCTGGATTTAATCGAAGAACAACTTGTGTCTCTTCTCCAGTGACGCTGCTATTAGTATGCCTCTATAGCCACGAATACAAGAAGAGTTCCTCAGAACTGAATGAAACAAGTTCCACTTTCATGCTTATCATTGAATGTGTGAGCTTTAATTCCCAGTTAGATATTCATCAGTTAAAAAAAAAATGTAAACACCGTTATCAACCCTCTTATTTCATGCTCAGAGAAGTGGTTTTTGGGAGGCTGGGGGGGGAAGTATCACGTTTTAGCTGCTCTTTGTCTCAGAGGTTCAGATTGTTGACACCCCCTCTTGTTCCTGTGCTTCAGATCCTGATTCAAGTTTGATGTTGGCAGCAAAGAGGAAACCACACACACACGCTGCTTCACCTGAGCAGACTGCTGCCCCTGCTGGAACAAGACATTCATTCACAAGGATTACATGAAGGGTCTAAAGCTGCCCTGGTGGATTGGCCATAGTTCTGTCTCAGAAGCGCTGTTTAAGACATTCCACTTGCCTTAGGGCTTGTAATGAAAACAGACAATCTCAAGTAATTTATTATATGATATAAATAAAAATGGAAATAAATATTTCCAGTACCAACTTGTCTTAAAGAATTTTATTTCATCTCACTTTTTTACCAAACAGCAAAACATGTTTGCTAAGAACTTCTCAATGTTAACAACAACACAAACTTGTACACGGGTTCCTGATACAGGGTGCATTATTAAAGGACTTGTTAGCAAATATCCTATGTAAAAAGGAACATGGAATTCTACTAGCAAGTATGGTATGTGTATCATAAGCCTGAAATACACATTGTAAGACCTGCTGTACCTGTGACAATGGCAGCGATACACTTCAATGGGGAGCAAGTAGACTATTCATGATGTCACAGCAGTGGGATGTACATGGTCCATCTTCAGCTCTCACTAACAAAACGACAAAAAGGAAGTCTATGGAGTCTCTGGAAATATTGTCTGTGATCATGTTGTATATCTGTGGTACTGACCTGATTCTGCACACATTGAAAACAGTAGTGACTCTGTAGTGATGCCCCCAGACCCCCCTAGAGGAGGTGAGGTCCACCACCTGCCCACACCCCCTGTCAAATTGTCCCACCCACATTGAGGATGCTTCCTACGCCCATGTTTTATTCCATGCGTCAAGTCAGGAAAATTGGGTCCAAATGTTATTGCGTTAACATTAAAATCACTAAATATATGCTGTAACTATTTTGCTCTAGGCAACTCAAGGGCTCAGGTAATGTGATTACTATATGAATAATGGTCCAAAATAACATTAAATGCAGGGTTTTTTGTTAAGTAACATACTTTCGTCGCCGGCCGGCCGATACATGCAGCGCATTAAGTGGGCCTGTCTGTCAATTAATCCCCGGGCCACTTTTTCCCCCCAGTCCGCCCCTGGCTGCGCTACAACAACGCCCATGGAAGAACAAGGTGTGCCATTGAGCGCTTGAATGGAGTACTGAAGAGGCGTTTTGCACGCCTCAACTATCTGAGAGTGGAACCCCAAGGAGCATGCCAAATAACACTGGCTTGTATTGTGCTACACAATATCGCTGTCCATCGCAGAGTCCCCCTCTCTGACATCGATGATCCCCCAGAGCCCCTCGCACCTGCTGATCTAGGCCCACCTATGGATTGGAGTGGTGGTGGTGCAAGGCGAGATGCTATTGTCTGCAATTACTTTTGAAAGGTGATGACAGATGGACTTTTTTTGTTGAAGGTATTTTTTCTTTAATCTAAATTACATTTGTGATTGACTTTTATGAGCATAAATGTCATCAACATTTGGTTGAAAACAAAATAGGCCACCACAAACGTGAGCAAAAAATAAAATGTATTTCCCATGAAGGCTAAAAATGGTGTGTTATTTCAGTTAACAAACTTTGCCATCTAATTTATATTGAAACATATTTTTAAATAAATGGTACAGTACATTTTGCTCTGGTAATCCACTGGAAACCCACCCCCTGGTGGGATCAGGATAATCCAGTGTTTTGGGATCAAACTGATCCCAATCCTGTGTTGTCGGTCTGAACTACCCGTTTTGAAGATTTGATCCAGATTAAAGCTTGGATTGGATTTCCTGATCTGATCGGATATCAAAGTGATCCTAATCCTGTTTTTTGGTTTTGAACTCCCCAAAATCCAGATCTGATCTGATCAGATAGGGATTACAAGTGTTGAACTCCTGGGCCCTGGCTTCTAGGATCCTCATCCTGAATGTTAGACTCCCAGCCTTAGGAGCATAAATAACGAAAAAGTCCCAAATGAAATGGAGTTTATTTCTGCAGGTAAAGATGACTTGCTTTTACTGCCAACACTGCTGGCTCAGCTTTATGCTTGATATATTGTGAATAATCAGCAAACCACAAACAACTTCCCAATAAGCACTAACAGGTAGACAGACAGTATATCTTCAACATTGTTCTTTACTGTCGATCTCTAAATTCACAAATGCAACTAACTAGTTTTTTTTTATAGAACTGTACAAGCTGTGTTATCACGTACGTTTCTTCAAACAACAATTGCATATACTTGTGAAGGCATATCTTCTGATCAGCTCAGGAAACCTCACACGCATTTCATCAAAAATGTTCCTCACTTTATTAAATTAGTCAAATCTGATGTAAACATTGCACAAATGTAACAGGACATACATGTGTTTGATCATTTATCTGAAGTATTTATGAATCTGCCAGTTTAATGGTAAACACGCACACAATACATTATTTCAGTTTGAATACAAATGGACAACTGGTGTTGGCTAAAGGCTGTGACAGCCTATATTAGTAGTGGGATTTACTCCAAACTAGCCGGAAGCAGCAACACAAATGTACATTGTACTGAAATGACAGAGACTGGGGCCTCTGTTTGAGACATCAGCACCTTTACAAAAACATGAACACGTTAGACCAGAGGCCTGTACGACCAAGCAGGATTTTCGCTTAGCGGCTAACTTCAGGGAAAACTCGGGGTTTCCGGTCCTACGACGCTGGTTCTCTTCTTAGCGGGGTAGATCTCCATGGTAACTTATGCTGAACGGCTAGCCTGCCCCGGAGCAGGTTAGGTTGCAGAGCTCAACTCAGTGAAAGCACTGCTTGCTGACCAATCAGAGCTCAGAGTTTAAAGCGATCAAGTCATATTACAGGAGAAAGGAAATACAGAAAAGCTGCCGTCGCAGGAAAGACGGCCGGCAAAAATCACCGACTGTGTGAACGTGAACATTAATAGAATATCACCTCCATCTTCAGAGCAATCTGACTATTATAACATTAGCGTTAAGAAAGCTTACTTAAATATCTGCCACAACATAAGTAACCGGATCAGAGTAACATTAAGTAGCCTACAGTCCGCGGCATATCACTTCATAATGTATCATATATCTCCTTATCTGAGTCAGCTGAGCCGTATCTGGCCGTGCAACACTCACAGTGTCACATATATGCAGAAGTATTATTTTAAGCAACACATTAAGTTGACGAAACACTCGAGTCAAATGTAATTAAAGTCAAATCGTGTCTTAGACGGGGCAGTGATATCATAAACCTGTTAATGTACGCATTCAAACGCTTTTTCTTTAACCAGCTGTATTCACCTTGCAGGTGCAGCTATGTGGCTTTTATCCTGGATAAAGTGTTTAAGTCATGGATGTTTAAAGTTTAACTTCTTCATATGTCTAATATTATAGTGGACTTTTCATTCAGGAAGTATGACGCTGCGCTGTCAGTACGCTTCTCCATGTTTGTGATTGGTCGAATGATCCAAATACCACCCCTTTCATGTGAACGCGCACCTAACTAGATAGGACACGGCTGGCTTGAGCGATCCACTTGATAACCCGCGTCGTAGTACCGTTTAGCGAGAGCGCGTATGTTTTGGATTAGGCCAACCGGCTAACTCAAACATATCCAGGTTAGGTTGAACCAGCTTCGTAGTACAGGCCTCTGCTGTGCCCGTGTCTGTCAATGAGGGAGGAAGAAGACTTCTGTTACACATGATGTCCCACCATGGTCCATGAACAGCGTCCCGCCAACAATATGTAAACATTTTAAGTTCCGGTATTCTACAGACTTAATAAAAAAATTCTGGTTTGGTACAGATCTTCTTACAAAGATTGTGATGATCATACTAATATATTTTTTAACTGATATTGCTAATAATGTTGAAAATTGTCATTGCTATCAACATTTCAATATTAATCAAATAGTTGCTGACTTGACTATTCTTTCCAAATCGGGCAGCATTAGTTTGAGCTGACTTTGCATTTGAACAGAATGAACGGGGGTATCATCAAATGGAGAATAGGGCTGGGCAATATTTTAATATAGTATCAATATCTTTTTATTATTTACTAGATTGTAACATACATTTCTGATATAGTTATACTTAACAATTGTCTTTTTGGTGTATTTTTGTTCTATTATTAGCTTTAACCTATTACCCATTATATCTGAATTACTGATGATTATTTATCAAAATTCCCATGTTGAAATATTTTGTGAACGCACTAAAGGTAGATATATATATATATATAGTATCTTCAATATTGAGGTATTCAAATCGGAAATATAGTGATTTGATTTCTCCATATGGTCCAGCCCTAATGGAGAATGTTTAATATCCCAGTAAGGAAAGCTCCCTGTAGGCTAAGGGTGCATAGTTAGCTGTTAGCACTTAGCCATTCTACTAATGATGAAGCAAAGCTGGCATTACTGCTATGATAGCCATATCCATGTTAGCAACAGACCTTCTTCATGCTAATGTTACTTGTGTAAGTGGGGTTCTATGTAGCCTGTAGGACGTTCCTTCACTGAGGCTTCACTTTGTGTAGTCTGGCCTGGCCCATGTGTACAGATGGATATCAGTGTGGCCTGTGGTACAGATGCACCTGTAAAGTCATTTTGATGGTCTCCATGAGTGACTTTATTTCAAAGCCCTTCAAATGTCTTTGAATAATCCATCAGGCTGGGTGTTCTCCCCCTGGCCTCTCAGAGGTTCTCCTTACTTCCGTTTGCTCTTGGTGTCAGTGGTCTGGAACACACTGGAGGCAGACATGAGGTTCTCAATGTACTGACCCAGAACCTGGTTCTCCGACTTCAGCTTCAGGTTCTCCTCTTTGACGCCATCCACTCTGGAAGACAGGTCTGAACACACAGAAACACACACAGAAATGTTACACAGCTGAATGGAAGCTAAATTGCTTTTATTGTTGATCATGTGCCCTTAATAAAACAACAGGGATCCACATAAACAATCGTCTTAAACAGCAGACTTTGCACTCATTACTTCTTCTTTCAAACAATGTTATTTTGACTATCACCTGCTATATATGTGGCGTCTTTCATTATTAGTGCGAATGCTGTTTACAGCATTCCACTATAGTTCTTCAATTCTTTATTCTTCCCCTTAAACTTATTTCAGCCAATACTTTGGCTCTCCATAACTTCAGCTTATTTTCAGCTACAGAAACCATTCAAATATTAAACTATTCAGCCTGTTCAGGAATCGATGGGAAACCTTCAACTTAAAAAAAATATTTCATACTTTTTGAAATATTCAGCTTTTTAAACTCTTTTTTTAACATGGAAGTCAATGGGAGATGCCTTCAAATCAGCCAATACTTTAGCTCTCCATAACTTCAGCTTACTTTCAGCTACAGAAACCATTCAAATATTAAACTATTCAGCCTTTTCAGCAATTGATGAGAAACTTTCAACTTTTTCAAAATATTTCATACCTTTTGAAATATTCAGCTTTTTAAAGTATTTTTTTAACACCTTGCGCCAAATGCTACTCCTTCCACATACTTTCAGCTAGACACTTCATTCCAACTTTCAAAGGACCACAAGACCTTCAGCTATTCAAACTTGACTTTTCTTTTTGATATCTTTTCCACTTTTTGAGATATTGAATTTAGTTTGGAGCTTGGTAGAGAGGCCTTTTTCAGATTTTAACATTAGAGTGGATGGAGCAGCTCGTTAACTCTAGAGTGCTTTGATTTCAAAACAGAGTGCAGCAGTGCCTGAAATTCTCCCCCAAAAATATTTTAAACTTGCCATAATTCCCAAACCCTACACTCAGACATATTCTTTCATGAAAAACGTAGGAAAACCTCTCCTAGGTTGGAAAATTAAAAACAATTAAGAAAAAAAATTAAACAAAATGAAGTACACTTTAGACAAACTGCTCCCATCTCCACAGTTTACACACAAAACCAAAAAAAACTACATTTAATATCTTTATGTAACTCCTTCAGCCCAATTTCAGCTGCAGGAACCATTCAAATATCAAACTATTCAGCCTTTTCAACACATGATGGGAAACTTTCACATTTTTCAAAATATGTTTTACTTTTTAAAATATTCAGCTTTTTAAAGTCGTTTTTTTACATGGAAGTTATTGCAATGCATTTGAGCTGTAACAATTAACACACACTCTCTCTCACACACACACACACACACTCTCTCTAACACACAGACACACACACACACTCTCTCTAACACACACACACACACTCTCTCTCTAACACACACAAACACTCTCTCACACAGACACACACACACACTCTCTCTAACACACACTCTCTCTCTCTCTCTAACACACACACTCTCACACACACACACACACACACACACACACTTATGATGATGAATGATCAAGAGAAGAGAGAGAGGGCGATCAAGAGAAGAGAGAGAGTAATGTATAACTCCTATGAAAATGTTGAAAGAGTGCTCAAACTTCACATGTGTGCTAACAGTCCAGCCATGAAGACATCTACAGGACAGTTTTGAGATTTCTTCAAATGCTGTTGCCATGGCAACACAATGCTCACCATGAAACACGGTTCTCTCATAACTTCAGTGAAAATACTCGAAATGGCCCAAAACTTCACAGGTTTGTTAACGATGCAGCCATCAACACATCTAAGCGTATTATGGGGTGTCATCAAATGCCATTGCCATGGCGACAGATCATTCACCATCAAGTTAGTTCAAAAGTTTCCCAAGCCTTTTTACTTTCTTTTCTCTTCTTAATACAAATTCATTCACTACTACTTACATCTGATATCTAACTCCTTCAGCCTATTTTCAGCTGCAGAAACCATTCAACTATTACATTATTCAGCTATTTCAGGACATCAAGGCTATACATGTTGTTGTTTATACCTTTTTGAAATATTAAGCTTTTTCTGCATTTGTTTAGCTAAAAGCAGCTACCATTCAGCTAATAACACATTCAGCTTTTTCTGCATTTTCAGCTAAATTCAGCCATAAATGTTCACAGTTTACAGCATTCGCACGCATTTTCTGCAGGAAATGCATTTTCTAGTTACTTACTTCTACTATCTTAGCAGTGGAAAGGGTTGCAAGACATTGTATAATGCACTTCAGTAGGAGCTCAAACTGGCTTTAATGAATGGAAAGGTGTAACAAAACGTTACGTTTGGAAGAGCTCGATATTGATCATCATTACGGCAACACATGCATGATTCTGTTAACCTTCATGTGAACCTGAATAACAACCTTGTTGCTTTGTCTTCTTTGATCGCTTAGGCCAGACATTAAAGAGCCTGTGACACGAGTTTCCCCCATCATCCAAACCCATCAATTTGAGTAAATATTGTCCCCTTGAAAACCGTTACTGAACTGATTTTGGATATTTGTACTTTGATAACCATTAATCTGCCCTTCAATGTTGACCATTTTCTGGATCTTCTCGGGGATTCTTCAAGTCCCGCCAAATGATGTGTGACGTCATTGCGGGCACAGCGCTCCAGCTGCACCGTTCAGGATCCAAAGCATCTGCATGTAAACGCACGATGGTGCACACAGCAGCAAGCTCAGACAGCGATGACAGTTTAATGTTGAACGTGTCTGAGAGCTCATATGAGGCTGAAGGATCGGTTTATGTTGTATCTGTTAGAAGTTTAGGAATTAGGTGCGTCAATATGGGCGATCATACGGTCATGTAGCCAGTGGTGGAATGGGACTAAAAATCATCCCGGGACTCTCGACTGGCCCACTTCGGTACCGCTAGTAAATTGTCAACGGGGGGAGTGGGGGATGTCAGGGGCGGCAGGTGCTGTAGATAGTAAATGTAAATATGTAAATGTTTGTGTCACTGCATCCTGGTAAAATACAAATATAATGTATAATGTCTGTGTCTTTGACATTAGCGCTGCCAGCCACCTGTGCCCTGTGTACTACGAAGCCAGTTCAACAGACCCTGGATATGTTTGAGTAACAAACTAACTAACAACAACAAACTAACAAACGAGATCTCGCTAAGCGGTCCTACGACGCTGGTTATCAACTCGGTAAATCAAGCCAGGGTTTCTCTCTCCAGCTGAGAGCGCGTTCACGTCTAAGACACGAGTGGATCTGACTTTAATTACATTTGACTCGAGTGTTTCGTCAACATAATGTGTTAAAATAATACTTCTGCATACAGTATGTGACACTGTAAGTGTTGCACGGCCAGACACGGCAGATAAGGAAATATATGATATATTATGATATTATATGATCGATGATCTGATTGATGATGTAATATGAATGATAAGTGAGACACGTCGGCGTCTTCTCTGCATACGGCAGTTTAAACTGTATTTCCTTTATCCTGTAATATGACTTGAGAGATTTAAACTCCGCACACTGAGCTCTGATTGGTCAGCAGGCGGTGCTTTCACTGAGTTGATCTCTTTTCTATAGACGCCGGAGGCGGGCAGCGTCAGGTAAAAAAAGTTATTTAGCCTTCCCAAACCTGAGCCTCACGCGCCGCCTATGGGGGATGCGCTAGTGACTTATCCGACCGGCCCACTTCGGTACCGGCCCATCGGGATTCGTCCTGATTCACTGCACCCAGCCCACGTAAACTGTCAACGGGGGGAGCCTCGCTGCGGGGAAACGGTGGACCTAGTGTCCCGATCGGAGTGGGAATAATAATAATAATAATCCGTGCATTTTATCCATTAATTTCTCCAACATTGTGGTGAAAAAACCACACGTTTAATCCATGTTGGTGTACTACAACTACAAAAAGCATCGGGTGGTTTTCTCATCAGGAAATGCAGACCGGCACAAACAAACGATTTTTAATCATCATTCTCACGATCATTTAATGTATCATATGTTCGCCGAATTGACATGAAAGCACTAATAAATGTAGTTTCATCCACTTGAGTTTACAACTACAAAAATAATCGATTTGTTTTTATATCACATCCTACGGGAGGAAATTCAGCAGCTCTCACTACCGATTTGTAATCCTAATGTAATCATCATCTTCACCACGATCATTTATGTTTATGTTCGCCGAATTGACATGAAAGCACTGACAAATATGAATATACTGTAGTCAACTTCATTAAAACGTTATTAACGTGCCTAAACTCAGTAATTCACCATTTCTACGCATGACAACACACTTTGTCCGTGTTTGGCTCTCTCGCCGCACAGTGAAGCGTTCCCGCATTGACGTCACTTCCGGCTTCCCCCAAAACTTCAAATGCGATGTTCGAAATTATTGATATTTAACGGAACGGTATCGCTTTTTCTTTTTTAAACTGACGGTTCGAGATGACTAGTAGCCCAATATTTCATTGCACAACAGTTGTTGGGATGCTGTCACAGGCTCTTTAACATTGAGCTCATTAATCACTGCAATATTTAACCATCTCAATTAAATACCACATCGTTTACATAGGCCCACAGACCTGTTGAGCAGCTAGTAGTAGCAAATTAAACTAAACGCCTTTCTTTGTTTGCGTCCTACGTGGGAGAAACCAAAGAGAGAAGGGTGTTTTCTTTTCTTTGACAGCCTTTCAATAATGAGACAATGAAAGTTATGCCAATTCATGCAAAAATGATTAGATCAAATCACCAGTTGTGTTGTTTTAACGAGTTGGGCGGTGGCCCATAAGCTATGTAGCTAAGCTAAGTCAAATATAGAATAGAATATTGTTCCCTGATGTCCATGTGTATAAAGCCCCCATGAATCAACATGATAATAACGAACAAGGTCAAACTGTAGATGCTCTTTTGGTATGCCATCTAAAAATGATGTTTCCTCACGGCAGACTCAACAAATAATGACCCCTGGCGCATCATAATTACGTCGCTCAGTGTAAGAGCAGTCTCTTCGCGCCGCAATTCAATTCATAAGTTCTTATACAATCTCCTTCAGATAGTTTCCAGACCCAGCATCATGAGTTTCACTCATTCAGGAGTTTAGCCCTCTCGGGAGAAGTCAGCGTTATTATTTGTTTGTTATGATTTATATATCACTGTTGTGATTCGATCGGATTTAAGTTTTTTGTATTAAACTGTCTTGCAAGTTGCAACATTAGTGTATGGGATATAATCAGGGCTGCACATAACTGGTGCGCAGGTGCAAGAGCACCGGATCATTTGAAAAAAGGTGCATTTGCGCACCAATATTGAGAGAGGGAGAGAGAGAAAAGAGAGAGAGAGATGTGCGAGTTGCACCTCGGACGTTACAATAGCAGGGTTGCCCAGACATAGACTTTACTTGGGCGGGCCGCCCAGGTATATTAACGGCCGCCATAATTCGTGAGCTATTTAGGTTTAATTGTTTTAATCCGTCCGCGAGCACGACGGCATCTGCGATCCCTCGCTCTACCCCTCGCTATTGCGTGAAGGGTGTGCTTTGTGCGCTCCGCACAGTAACCCTGCTGCGTGCTCACTAGCGCACCCCCCCCCCCTTCATAAAGTCAAGCACCCCTAAAAAGGTCCGGTTTATTTCATTTTAAGGATGAGCACCAAGCAACATCTCCAGGTGCTCCTTTGAGAACCAGGGCAAAAAAGTGATGTGCACCCCTGGTTATAATGTTTTATTGTGGGATGAAAGTCAGAAAGAATATGCTCGGTGTTGGATTACATTGGTCTAAGTGCCCCCTCTGGTGGTGATCGAGGAGACTGGTTTTGAGTGATTTTGGGCAGGTTTTGAGCAGTTTATTTTGAGGTTTTCATGAAGTCAAGCAGCAAACGTCTGGCTAGCTTCGTTTGCAGATAGCCACCCAGCAGATGCAGCCACACGACAAGAACTAGCTACTACAAGCCGTTTTGTAGAATGAAACAGGGACTAGCTTTGAGGTGAAAAAAATAAAGTGAAACCCCTGCTAAACTGACTGGAACCGCGCTTGTTGAAGCTGAATTCATTATAGCCGAAAGCTCATTTTGAAACTCAGGGAGGGTTCCACACAACAAGTGGAAAAAAGTGTGTGGTGTGTGTGTGTGTGTGTGTGTGTGTGTGTGTGTGTGTGTGTGTGTGTGTTCGTCGTACCCTCTAAAGTGTGTTGAAGCTCCAACACCTGGTTGATGAGCCTTGTCTTCTCCTCCAGCTCAGCCTGGTTCTCCATCTCACCTGCACCAGGTAAAGGGACAGTTAAACACCATGCAGTGTGTGTGTGTGTGTGTGTGTGTGTGTGTGTGTGTGTGTGTGTGTGTGTGTGTGTGTGTGTGTGTGTGTTTTGTCTCACCATCTTCTGAGCTCATGGTGAAGTACTCGTCTTCTTTTTTGGAATGCAGGGCTGCGACTATGGAACACTGCAAGATTTGGCAAAATTGTACAATTTAACAATATGTTGAAAATGCTCTTATTCAAACAGAAACAAAGTCTTAAATACTGGGGTCCCATAGGGCCGTGTCTTTTGACCCATGCTCTACTGAAAATAAACAAATGAAAAAACATGCAATGACAAAATAATGTAATCTTTTAAATATGCGTTTTCACACCTACTTATTTATTATATTGTTTGTATTTTTTGTATTGTAGTCTTCTATGAGTTTATGTTTGTTAAGAGTTAAACTAAACATGTCCTTTTATTTTGAGTTCATACATATTTTTCGCCTAAATGTGCAGTAGCGAGAAGGCTGCTGTCATTTGCATTAATTTCTCCATAAAGTGCCTACACGTCCACAAAGATGTAGTTCATGGTATGCATCATGACTTAAGAACATGATGGTTTAAAAAAAGATATCGTTATTTTAGCGGAGTAACGTTAGTTACATGACAATAGTCACTACACAATTCAAACAGCCTGAAGAGAAGCAGACCTGAGCAGACAGCACACATACAGCAGGGTGGAACTGGAAGTCTTGTTATAACTGTTAGCTTGTTAGCTTGCTTTATCAACCCGTCGACAGGAGAGACTGTTAGCTTGTTAGCTAGCTATAGTAGCCGGCTGAGAGAGGCCTGCTGGCGGAGAAAACAAACCCTGAGCAAGGCCTGCTGCTAACTACCGGTTAGCATGCTTACATACACTAGACATATAGGATTTGCTTCCAGGGATAAGATGAATAAACGATAATATCAACTCAGAATACAAACCTGACGACGCGAAGATCGAAAACTGCTGCTCTGAAGAGACTAGTTAAAATAAATAAAACAATGAAAGTGTTTATGTTCTCACAGCTGTGATTGACACCATCTTTGTTCAGTATGGCTTGTGACGTTACACCATACAGCCGCCAGGGGACGCCTGCCTGAAGACATGGATGTCTGTTTTAGTCAGTAGGGGAGTGAAACTCAGTACTCAGAAACTGTACTTAAATAAAATATTGAGTTACTTGTAGTATATCAGTATTTAAACAAATAGTTATACTCCACTACAAATGCATAATGTGTTACTCCACTCCATTTATTATTCAACTGTTTACATTTGAGCATGTAGGCCTATGTGTTGCATTAATGTTATGCGTTTAACATAATGCATCTCTGAAGCTTAAACCATTGGATAAACTGTGAGATACAAGGTGAACATATCCAATATATTGCAAATATCAGTAAGATTTTGTATGGGATTGCTTGTAATGATATATTTTGACAACAATGTGTCGAGACTTTTATAAAAGTAAAAGATTTGAACACTTATTTCAATGCTTATTATGACTATTTGTCAAAAATGTCACATTTTCTTTCACGGAATATGATTGCTGTGAATATATGGGATTAGTTTTGTGACATAAAGATAAAGCAACACTTTCTCAGAATCAAGCAAAACTAAGAGTTTAAAGGTGGGGTAGGTACATTAGAGAAACCGGCTCGAGATACACTTTTTGTTATATTCCATGGAATGCTCTTAACATCCCGATAGCAATGAATATCTTAAGTGCTTTGACAAAAAATCCATACAAAAATGTCATCTGTGGAAGCCGTGGTACTGTAAAAAGCACGACCATCATTTTAGCCGGTTTTCAGCGGAAAAGGCGTCGGCCCGGCTGAAAAGACCCGACGATGCGGGACACACCAATCTGAGTAGGACGTGTCGATGCTCATCGTCGGCCTGCCGCCCACCAACGCCGATAATCGGCCTGGTGTGTCCGTGCCTTAAGAACAAAGGACAGTAAAAGAAGAGCTCTGTGGCTTCAGGCTCGATCGCCATTCAAATGACAGCGTTGTTTCCCCCAAAAGTGGGCGGGGCCGTAAAGTGACTTATATGTTACTCTCATCTATGAAAATCGATAGCCTACTGCTATATTTAACCATATATCGAGCCCGATCGTCGATTTCCAATGGCTTAATTTAATTGTTTGCCTGACTGGCCATTGTGTAATCGGGCTCTTTGAAGATCCAAAAATCCACGGTTTTCTTACATTTCTGATCGGATTGGCAAAAACTTCAGAATTTGTATTGAACGCCATTCAAATGGGCAGAGCCGTACTTTTTGCCCGGAAGTGACGCATTTGTTACTCTCATGTATAGAGAGGCGAAGTCACGCCCATCTACTTCCGGTCCATGGGACCCCGGAAGCGAAACATTATACATTGAATTCAATGGAGAGAGAAAACGTATCTTTTGATCCCGTTTGAATTGTGCCACGAACTACACATATGATGTTTGTCAATCTTAAACAACCATTTCCATGTCAAAAAAGTCACATTTTGTCGTAAAACTGTTGAAATATAAGACTATGAAAAATACGCGACTACAAAGACTACAAATCCCAAATCCCATTCTGGGTCGCGTAAGTGATGTCACCGGCGATAATGCTCCAAGTGGTTGGTTCACTTTTACAAGATCCCTGTGTGCTTTGTACCAGGTTGTAATCACAAAAGTGATCATACCACTTGCTCGTTCTATCGCTTCCCGTCTGATGAAAGGACCAGGAGTCGCTGGATCAGACATATCAGGTAATATCATAGGTAATATACATGTTGTGCATGGTTAGCTACCTAGCTAGTAGCGACGAGTAGCGAGCACGTTAGTTAGCATTACATTACTTAGCCTTGTCATTTTTAGTAGCCTTACCATGAAGTTATTATTTTATTACATGAAGTAAACCAAAATGTTAAACAGTAACCAAACATGATGGTAAGTATTTTGTGAAACATTTGAAGAGTAGCCTACTGCGCCCTCCACCGGGTGCTAAGGAAGCAGTTCAGGGAGAGTCGAAGGCAGGCAGGGAGCTTTGCATGACATTCTTCTGGACGTGTTTCATTGTGATGACAGTGAGGGTGAGTCAATCTGTTTGTTGGAAAGACAGTCGTTGTGTGCTTACTGAGAGAAAATTGTTAGAAGAGATAATTATTCAAAGTGTTGTTACTTTAAAGTGTTGTTACTGACCTTTTTCTCTTTTATTTTCTTTACCTCACCTGTAACTGCTGAGACGTTGAGGAACATGCACACTGACCTGCTCTGGCAACCTGATTTCCACTGTACGTAATAGTATTTGGTTATGGTATATTATTTATATACATCAAAGGCACAATGCACCCCCCAGAGACACACATGTATTGAGTGTGATATTTTGCATAGGTCATGTGAAATCATTTTTACATACTAGAAAACTGTAGGAGCGGCAACTTGTTTTGAAATTGAATTTTTAATATCCGATAATAAAGTTGATCTGTTTTCTTTATTCTTCTCTCTTCCCAGCTCCATCCATCACCATTCTCTGTTCCTGCAGGTCCTGCTTGCTAATCAATGCTCATATGTTTTTACACAATTACAAATATAGTCAATGTATTGTATGACATGAAGTTGTGCTTCATTCGGAGTCAATAATAAATTCATTCTGCCTTCAACTGCACAATGATTGTGGACTGCACCGACATCCATGTAGCTGCCCCCCAGTAAGATGAACCAAGCAAAGAGGGTCACCATCATGCCCAAGGACATCCAGCTGGCCCGCCGCATCCGCGGAGAGAGGGCTTAGACTGACCTGAGACCAGCACACCCAAACACAACGGCTCTTTTAAGAGCCACCTACAGTTTCAAAGAGTTGCAATCCTACGTTATTATAATGATTAAACTGGTTCATGTATCACTTAGTTTACTGAACCGTGATGAATGAAAGAAATTAGTGAGGTAGTGGTTTACTGAAGTTACAAAGACATTAATATATGAGTAACTGGTCAGTGTAAACACAAGCTTCTGTCAATTATGGATCATTCAAACTATTTATATAAAAATATGTAATAAAGTTCTAAAACAAGTATTCGGTATATTCCTTGATAGCTTTTGGAGAAGGTTGTTTTTAAGTTTACTAAAATCTATCGTTTCAACTGTTTCAATTTTATAAAAAGGGAACAGGTGAGTAGAGCATCATTGAGTTTCTTATTCTGTCAGTAAATTATCCAAATGAATGTTTTTCATTATTTTAGTCAACCCTAAACAAATTGATTGTACCTTTTAATGATGACCTTACATGGTAGGCAAAGTTAAATTAACTTCAGAAAATCAAATCTGTTCTGAGAAAAAACTAATAAATGTTTAAAGATAGGAACTTGCCATCCCACTGAAAAACAGTCCGTAGAGATTTAAAGGCGTAGTTGTAGTTCAGTCCAACGTTTCATTTGGATTCATTTGACAACAGTCAACTATTTTCATAAAGAATATATATATTTTTCAAAGTCAACTTTCTTGTCAATCTTACTCAGTTTGTGTTTATAGACAGAGAGATCAACTAGACGTTTAAATAAAATTATACAATTTACAGATATGTATACAAATATATATATCCTATATACACCATCATGTATAATGATGGTGTATGATGTAGAAGGAAGTGTGGTAGATAACAAGTAAATATAGAATTACATACAGATCCATGTTACAGCAAAAGATGGAATAACTAAGAAGCACGCAGTATAATAATAATTACATGCAACAATTAAATAACTGCTCAGCATCTCCACCACAATCCCAATCTGCTGTGTCCTGTTTTCCTCCCCTCTGCATAACACCCCATCACACATACGAAACACAACGCAGAGTCCGAGGGTGTTAAGAGTATGTTTATTTAAATGTCCTCCTCTCTACTGGCCAACACAGGGAGCATATGCTGGGTGTAGAAGTTTTCCAGGAGGAGGAGATTTCCATGCCATGCAGGGTCTTTGGGGATGGGGATGATGATCGCCTCCTTCGTGGTCCACACAACAAAGTAGCAGAGACTCCGGTCTGTGATGTGCAGCTGCCCTTGGACCTGGTGCCAGTATGGGTGATTCTCCTTGAGAATATATGACCCACCCTCCTCACGGAGACAGAAGGATGGTAACTGGACTGCCTCCGTGATGGTCATGTTCCTCTGGCTGTGTGGACACTTCACCTCCAGCAGGGCAGATGGCTGCACAAGTCCATCGGGTGATGCTCCCAAAACACCCGACTCACTCCCAAAGAGACCAGACTCGATTCGAACACTGTCACTTGATAGGCCTCCACAAAAGCCTTCACCCCTTCGGCCTCGTTTACAACACCCCAGTTGACAGTTGGCGATGTCTCTGGCCAGTGGGTTGTATGTCTCCTCTCGCTGTTGGTAAAGTTGAGACACCGACTGGACTACTTTTTAAGTGCCAGGCTTCCTCCACTGGCACTCAACATCTGTGGAGCTGATCTGCCACATGGCAAATATTGCCAATGCTGCAGCGTGGCTGCATTTGTACATCCCCTGTGCACAATCACAGACAGCGCTCTGCATCGCGCCATCGTCTCCCATGCAGATCTGTAAAAATAAAGTAAGTACCATTTGTTAGCATGCTATAATAGATTGAGCAATAATACAAGGATGGTCCGGATCTGGGGGTGGAAGGGTTTGTTTTTCCATAGTTTTGTCCTCTTGTCTGTTGTTATTGTTTGTTTTTTCTGTATTTTTTGTAATTTGTGTTATATTGGTTGTGATTGTACATTGTATTTTTCTAAATGTGTATGAATACATTTTTGAAAAACATTTGATCAACAATAAAAAATGATTTGGTCAGGATCTAGATTCAGTGTGTAGTTTATTAATTAATCAATGCTCTCTACATTAGGAAAACACATACCAGTGTACCAGAGGGAGTCACACACAGCTGTGCCTAGATAACCAACATCCTTGAATCTACACACAGCAAATAAACTCAAATGACACAACGAGATGTAAAAGGAGATCACACATACAGTAGCTATAGTCGATATAAAACTGTCCGCTTCAATCTGAAGAGCAACTCAAACAAAACACGGGAGTGTACCTTGTTCTTGTGAACACTAATGTTATCCACAGCATACACAGAGACCACGAAGTTCTTAAGGAGAAAACTAGTTACTAAAACAAAACACGTTAGTGTACCTTGTTAGCTAGCTGACATTAACGTTACACATACTCATATTACTCACCGAAACCTTGTAAAGCCGGTCCCGCTGCTCTTACAGAACCGACTAACTCCCCTTTCGTGTATGTACAGCTCTCAACATGCCCAGACTTGTAGTGATGTTCACCTCGTTTTATACTTTTCGCCTCATTCTGAAAGAAACAGGTGAAATTTGCTAACGTGACGGCCGTCTTTGTGATGGTGACGCGTATTGTGCGAGACCAGAGACCTGTAGTTCACTGAGCGGTTTCACACTAAAAAAATGTGTAACTTCACAGTTTTACGACACATTTAAATTTTTTTGACTTGCAAAATGTTCTTTTAAATTGACAAACATCATATGTGTCATTCGTGGCACAATTCAAACGGGATCAAAAGATAACCTTTCTCTTTCCATTGACTTCAATGTATAATTTTCCGCTTCCGGGGTCCCATGGAGGCTCCCGGAAGGGGAGGGACTTCGCCTCTCTATAGAGAAGACAAGTATATTCAACCTGGTTTTTCCAGTTAGTGGGTGTTTCTCAATGTCGAGTACGCTTGGTTGGTAGCACATGTCTTCCGAGTCACTTGCTTCAGAAGCGAGGCAAGAATACTTCCTGGCATTCAGAAAACGAAGAGTGGAACAGGCTAGCAAGTGTGCAGGTGTGCATCATATGAGAGGCCCCGCCTTACATTTTCCGCCACAGATTTGGGGAAATTGGTCCATGCGCAAAGCATTGTGGGGATTTTAAGACCGCGGAGTCTACACATGTGCAGCCTCGAAATTTCTCGCTACGAAGTACGCCGGGCTCGGTAGAATTCCAAGTATGCTGGACATTGGAACAGTCCTTCGGCGGGACTCGATAACGTAGTATGCTTGAAATAGTGGCTCTGGAGCAGCCTTCCTCGACATTGAGAAACACCCTGGCCGTTTCTCAATCTCGAGGATTCTGGCTTCCAAGCCAATATTTCAAGGATGCTACGTCGAAGGACTGTTCCAATGTCCAGCATACTTGGAATTCCACCGAGGCCGCGTCCTTGGTTTGGGGGAAATTTCGAGGCTGCACATGGGTAGACTTTGCGTCCACCCATACCGTCATACTGGTCATCTCAATTGGTATTCATTTCATAAAATGAAAGTGCTTTTCAATAGTTATAGTACATATAATATGCTTCTGTGAGCACTAATTGGAGTGCAAGTGAAACAGGTGTTTGTTTGTTTATTTATTGTAAAATTGGCTCTTATTCGATTTAGTTTTTTCTTTTGTTAAATCTTTAAATGAAATATGTGAAGGTAATATTTACATTTATTTCACATCGTTGATCTTTCCCCCATTTGATCTCCTTTCATCTTTCCGCTACTGGTTGCGCAGTTTCACATTTCTCCAGTTTCACAGAGTACAAAGTGCAGCTTCTGCTGTCAAGTTTGTTATACATCCCAAAGTTTGCATAGAAGTGTTTTACGCCTTCTTTCGGTTTTAAATGAGGCCTTGCACAGATGAATTGCTTTAACCATAGTCTACATACAAATATAAAGGCTTTAACCTAATATTTATTATGTAATCCCCATAGACTGTATAAAGGTAATCCCTTAAAGCACAGTACCGATATCTGCAGGTAAGAAACTGGAATTTACATGTCACGTAAACCAAAGTAATGTTACCCATTCTACAGGCCACATATAGAACTAGGTTTTGAATGAGAACTTATTTCTCACAAATCCGATAATTAGTTAGTTTTTGTCTAAAAGTCAGTTTAAACCTCGTAGAGCCCGACATGGCCTGCAAGTCTAAACTCTGGGCAACAGATCCCTCTCTCCACCTGCTGCTGCTGGTCAGCAGGTTAATGAGAAACCAACTTCCTACCTGCTGAGCGGCAGCCGGAACTCACCGCAGCTGGAAACAAGTGCTCCTTTCCGGGAAGAAAACGTGATTTAGGTGAATCCGTTGTCCTAACCGGGGAAAAGTACACCGAGCTAAGTTCCCCCTTCTGGGGTTCGAACCTGGAGATGGACCGGTTCAGGTATTTCATTTTCAACCAGAAGAGCGTTCTGGTCCTCGGTATCCTGCAGATCGCCTGTGCGGGTCTTTGTGTGGTGTGTGGCTTCATGGACGCTATTTCCCGAAAGTACACCCAGCTGAGCGGCACCAGGGCCCCGGTGTGGGGAGGACTGGTGAGATATGGATCCTCTATCATTACACACTCTTTAGCAGTTATTCAAGCAGCACTGCAGCCTGTGTAAACTTCACTTTCATCATGACGTTACATCTTTTACACATGTCAGTCCGCCACTTTACAGTCTGCTCTAAATGTCCTGAATATTATAATGAGGTGAACCTCAGCTAAGAGATTGGAGCTGCTGGTCTTTGCCTTTGTTCCTGTCAGTTTATTCAGACTGCAAGTCTTCCTGCACAGATCCTGGGCTCTCCGGGTGTCCTGGCACTGTTCGCCTCCCAAAAGAAAAACTCAGTGCTGGTAAGTGAGAGGGGTCAGTGTATGTTTTAGTCATTGGATTTTCTTTTCACAAATGGATATTAAAAAACAAAAAACGACTGGATTTAGTAGATATATAGTTTTAAAATTTAAAAACCAACATTGAAATACACGGCGTTTTTCTTTATCATGGTCAAAAAGGGATTTACTCAACTTAAAAAACGGGATGATTTTCATTTTTTACTTCTCAAAACAAAAAATAAAATCACTAGAAAACAGAAACAAAAAAACTACAGTTTTTTTCATATTCTGCTACCGGAAGTTACCTTACAAAATAAGAGCGCAGATGAGGACGGTCAATCCGTGTATCTACGGTCCATTTGTTTTTCTTTAAAGTGGACCTATTATGCTATGTTGGAAAAATATATTGTAGGGCCCAGTGGCGTAGCTGTGCCTGGGCCCACCCACATGCACGTCTGGCCCACCCACAGCCAATCAGCAGTCATAGCGATTTTGAGTTCCTGACAAGCCCAGAAGGAAGTGCCACAAACTGCAGTTCATCTAGTGGCCGACAGGGGGTGGATGCAGAAAGGAGCAATTTCCATAGACCCCCCCCCCCCCCCCCCAACTTTACAGCATGTTTCTATAGCCTGGATCCAATCAAACTTATTCTGGATATAGTTAGATTCCACCTTCATGACAATGGAATAGGGAGTGTATTTTTTTACCGTGAGTAAATTAGCAAGTAAAGTAAGTTTTGCCATGAGTGAATGAAAGTCTTATTTCTTCTTGAGGTCTGCAGTGAAGCGTGTACACATGTGCTGAATATGAAAACACTCAGTGTGTGCCCACCGTGCGACTGTCAAGGATAAACAACCTGTGACCGCCGAGCCAGTCATGTGGATGTCAGTTTTACACATTCTGAGGCCGCCGTGCCTATGTTTTTGTTTTCACTGCTAGTTTAGGCTTATGCTTATGTTTAATTGGTGCATAAAAAATAAATAAAAAATCGTTAATGAATTTTCAGCTCATACCCCACGCTTAATAAGTCTCCCCCTGGCCCACCTACATTTCTCCAGGCCCACCCACACAATCATTCCTGGCTACGCCACTGGTAGGGCCATACAAAACATAGGCGCATTCACACCGCAGTACTTTTCCCACAAAGAGATAACTCTTTAGTTCTCATGAACTAAATACAGATCGCGTCACACCGGAATAAGTTCCTGGGGAAGGATTAGGCAAATGAAGCCGCTGACGTCACTTCTTCTTCTTCTGCTTTGGGTTTACTGGCAGGCCGCAAACAACTTCACGGAGTTGGGGACTGGCTTCAGTAGAAGCTGCTGGGACTCCCAGCAGCTTCTACTGAAGCCTTCCGAGTAAATCGCCAGAACGCCGACACCTCCTCATCTCCACCGTTCCCATGTTTTCTTTTGTGTTGCCATAAGTTAGTCTCTGCGTTTCTGTGCTGGGCTAATGCTAATAATGCTAATGCGAGGATAATAAAATGGCGGCTTCACAACACTTTTTGGGAGTTTGACAGGGCGTGGTTTGCATTCCGCCCAGCCAATCAGACATAGGAACCTTTTTGGAAAAGTTCTGATTAACTAATTTTAGTTCCGGCTCTTTTTGGTGTGAACGCCACATTTCGGAACTATATCGGAACTAAAGGGGGAAAAGTACTGCGGTGTGAACGCAGCTTTTGACAGAGGATTACTCACAAAGTACACAGTAAAAGTACTTCATTTTATTTCTAGTAGCAGTCAAACTAGTACAGAGTCCAACAGTGTTAGTTTTATTAAGAACTTATGATAACAAATATTTGTATCGCCATCGATCATCAAATATAGCAGGACAAAAAATGAAGAGCATCTGAATTGAAAAAACAAACTCGAGAGACGGCTGAGTGACCGCAGTGCAGAATCGCTGTAGTTTAAATCTCCTAACAATGTCCATTTTTGACATAGGCCTATTATAAATACAGCCCTTAATAACATTCATTTTCTGGGCTCAATATATGTCTTGGCCGTTTTCGTTGTGATCGCTAAATTCACATTGTTTCCCCTTGTTTATAATAGTATCACCGTTCCAAGCACACGAGTGCTTTTGTTTTGAAATCACTTCCGTGAGTTTCACCTCGCTCCAATGACCATTAGACCATTTAGTAAGGCAAAAAGCAAAAACGTCTCTCAGACGCTCTTCCGTTTACTTGTTTAATAAAGAAAAACAATTGGACGGTAGATACACAGATTCAGATTCTGACCTCATCTGCGCTCTTATTTTTGTAAGGTAACTTCTGGTCGCAGAATATGAAAAAACTAGTTTTTTTTGTTTCTATTTTCTAGTGATTTTATGTTTTGTTTTGAGAAGTAAAACATGAAAATCATCCCGTTTTTTAAGTTTAGTAAATCCCGTGTTGACCATGATAAAGAGAAACGCCTTGTATTTCAATTTAGTTTTTTCAATTTTAAAACGAAAATTAAATATCCAGTCGTCTTTTTTTAAATTTTTATATCCATTTGTGAAAACAAAATCCAATGACCAAGACATACACTGACCGAGAGGGTTCCTTCACCCTTGTTTTCTATGTATGTGAACTTTTTCAAGGAAAGCTGAGACTGGCCACTAAATGTATAATCTCATAAAACCCTCTATTTATTTTTCAAGTATCATTTTCAGCATTGTGATCACCTACCTGTTATATTATTTGGAAAAATGTGTGCACAGATCGATGCAGTTACAGATACATTTATATAAACTCCCGAAAATAAGTTGTCATTTATTTACTGAGCTCTTCCATACATTAAAATTACATTACATCTAGACTAGACCTTGTGTTGTATGAGAATAGCTGGTCCACCTAAAGTAAGCATGGGCTCTGTTGTTGCTAACATGAAGGCTAACCTGGTTACTATATTCATCATCTTGAGCTATCTTGGTTGTGTCGGAAGTGTAGCAGGGTAGATCATTGAATGGATGTATTGATCTATAGATTGCCAGTGCTGTTTAGTGGGCCAACTTTTAAAATGTCTTTCTAAATGACTAAAACGTAGAGCCTATTTACCATTCTCTCCTGCCGTTCTTGTTAGTTATCGTCCAGCATGTACAACAGTATCGATATATTTACAACAAGCTAATATTGGCAGATATATAAATCGGGCAGGTTTATCTGGCTAGCTCTATTGTACACTCAACCCTCTCAGTATGAAAAAGAAAAGTGCGCACTCTGTGATGTTGTCCCTGCAGGTGAGTGTGATGGTGGCAGCAGCCGGCCTCTCCTGTGTGGCGGCAGCTTTTATATCAGGCTACTCGTGTCTGACACTCACTTATGGGGAGGAGGATAAGGAGGTCTTCCACCACCACGACAGTCCCAAAGTGGTAAGGCATGTTAACACACACATGCATACATGCACACTACCACAAAATATATCCTTTGGGTGATCTCAGTGTTTGGTAAAGTGTGTGTTCAAATATTTGTGTGACCAAAAGGCCCTGACACTCCGAACCAACATAAAATAACTAGTTGCGACGGGGCTGACTGTTGTCCAAAAAGTTGAACGTGAATGCACCCCTACTGCCAAATATCATATCATTCTAAACCTGTATAAAAGGAAATAACTCTCCATAACAGCAAAAAGCTTTCAAAAAGGAAAAACAGACTGTAGCAAGATAAGTTATTACTTTACCACTTAGCTGCATTCCAGACAGACATGTCGTTGTTACAATATCAGTATATCAGAACGATCAGATGAGAGGATAGAGACTTGTGTTTTTCCCCTTGACTTTAATCGTTTAATCACGTTGGTTTTCCTTGCATCCTGAGTGCACTTATTCACTTAAGATAAACAGCCTATAAGAGTGGTTTATTTAGCAGAATCGGGGTGAAAGAAGTTGGAATTAGCGAATAATGTGTGGCCCATCTAAAAAAAACATGGCCGACCGAAACTTATCGACCACTCAAACTATGCCGACGTCTGATATCGGCCCTCGGCTTGGTGTGTCAGAGCCATTAGACAGTGTACCTACAAGATGTTTACACTGTATGTCTCCGCTCAGACGTTTGTGCTTCATCGGATGGTGAAGGGGGCGAACGCCACCATCCTGCTGACCTGCACCATCAGCATGGCTCTCTCCGCTCTCATCGCCTATGTGGGATGCCGGAGTCTTCCAGGCTGCCGCTGCTATGATGCCAGAACCGGACTGGTAGGAAGAACAATCATCACACATCCCTTTTAAACTGAGTGACTGTTGCAAGATTTCTGATCTCACAATACTTACGCTGTTTCCATTGACCATGGTGGCACATGTATCTCCAAACATCCTTGGTTTCAGACAGAGATAGACCAGAGCAGCTTCTCAGTTCTAGCCTGAAATTGTCCATTATATCCAGGGCTGCACATAACTGGTGCGCAGGTGCGCATGCGCACCTCCGCCAAAAAAAGAGCACCGTGTCATTTGAAAAAAGGCGCATTTGCGTACCAACATTGAGAGAGAGAGAGAGAGAGGGAGAGAGAGGAAAGAGAAGAGAGAGAGAGATATATTTGCGAGTTGCATATGAACCTATGATATGAACTCAGGGCCGGCCCGTAGCACTGGCGTAATAGATGTTCGCCTAGGGCGCCAGATCTGTGGAGGCGCTGCGCTGACAGCTCTGGGACGGAAAAAAGCCTTTTTGACCGTTGGGGCTCATCCTAAATTTCGGCCTTGATGTAACGATATTCACAATTAAGTAAATGTAACACCCTTTTCCCCCCGGTTACACGTTTCATTTGCCCTGTATGATGGCCGCTGTAAGTGATGAAAATGGGGGATGTTGGCTTATCTGGCGCCCGCAGCTCACAGCCAAAATGCGAGTGAGCGAGGGAGAGAGGGAGGGTGCACCGGTACCAGCGCTGTTGTTATTAGAATCTGGTGCTAGCTGCATTAACGGATATAAGAAGAAGATGTTTCTACAATAATGTGGAGGGAGAGTCCTCTCCAGTCAGACTGAGAGGCTGATAACTACAGCTCAGTGAGGTAAAGAACTCTGAGTGTTTAGATAGTTCACTTTAGTCTAAGTTCAAACGGTTTGATCACAATTTATGTAAACACATATTTCCAAGGCACTCCTTTATAATTATTGGGATAAACAGGTTTGAAATCATTCCAATGTATACTATAGGACAGTAACCAAAAATATCCTTTAAAACTGGAGAGATAAAAAAAAATGCATAAATAAATGTTAAGGTAAAATAAGATATGAATGAACAACACAAATAAAATAAGTTACATTCATTTGTTATTGGCTATGGTAGGTTATTGGTTATGTTCACATACTTATTGGATTACATCCACTTGTCTAAGATGACAACAGAGACTTTCGACCCAAACCCAGCTGTTGACTTGTGGATGCAAGCAGCTAATCGCAGACTCAACCAGAGAGAAAGTAGTAGGCCTACATCATCAGCTACCATGTCTGACAGAGAGGAAGACAGTGAGGAGAACAGTGAGGAGGGTAGTGATGACAGCTTGTAGGATTACTGGTCGTGCTAATGTTGTCTTGTGTTCACCTCTGCATGTGTGTTCTGTGTTCACCTCTGCATGTGTGTTCTGTGTTCACCTCTGCATTTGTGTTCAGTGCCGTGTGTCTGGCATATAAAGTCAAGACCCCCTCAAAAGTTACAGTTTATTTCATTTTAAGGATGAGCACCAAGCAACATCTCCAGGTGCTCCTTTGAGAACCAGGGCAAAAAAGTTATGTGCACCCCTGATTATATCATCTAAAATGTAAACAGTTGCTGGCAGCTTGTTTCAGCTGTAGCTGGTTAGCTAATAAAGCTACAATGAACCCCCTGAATTGGTTGAACAAGCTAAAAACTAGTCACTGTTTTGCGTATGTATTTCTGAAAAAAACTTCCAGTTCTGCCTAGACAAATACTGTATGCCTGCCTGCACCAATTTATATTGCTGTCAGATAAGGAATCCCATTTGGATGCCTTTTAACGTATCACTTTCCATTCTCAGAAAAAAGCCTTTTCCCCCCTCCAATTAAAAGTCTGTCTTTCTTTCTTGCAGGAGACGCTGGTTCCTCAGTGTGACCCTGGGGACACAGAGATGGCTTGTAGATGGCAAAGTAAGAACTATTAATGAATGTTGTTTTTAAAGGGGCCCTGTTCTGCTAATTCCAGGTTCATATCAGTAGTAAGTGCCTCTACTTTAAAGAGTCCTCTCCTGCTGATGTTCAGGTGTATATCAGTATGTAGTGTCTCTACTTTAAAGAGTCCTCTCCTGCTGATGTACAGGTGTATATCAGTATGTAGTGTCTCTACTTTAAAGAGTCCTCTCCTGCTGATGTTCAGGTGTATATCAGTATGTAGTGTCTCTACTTTAAAGAGTCCTCTCCTGCTGATGTTCAGGTGTATATCAGTATGTAGTGCCTCTACTTTAAAGAGTCCTCTCCTGCTGATGTTCAGGTGTATATCAGTATGTAGTGTCTCTACTTTAAAGAGTCCTCTCCTGCTGATGTTCAGGTGTATATCAGTATGTAGTGTCTCTACTTTAAAGAGTCCTCTCCTGCTGATGTTCAGGTGTATATCAGTATGTAGTGTCTCTACTTTAAAGAGTCCTCTCCTGCTGATGTTCAGGTGTATATCAGTATGTAGTGTCTCTACTTTAAAGAGTCCTCTCCTGCTGATGTTCAGGTGTATATCAGTATGTAGTGTCTCTACTTTAAAGAGTCCTCTCCTGCTGATGTTCAGGTGTATATCAGTATGTAGTGTCTCTACATGTCTCCATGCTTTAATGTTCAAAAAGCTTTGTTTTTCTCATACTACCTGTGCTGCAGCACCTCTTTTCACCCTCTGTCTGAAACCAGAGCCCAGTCTGCTCTGATTGGTTAGCTGGCCGGCTCTGTTGTGATTGGTCAGCTGCTTAGGCGCTGGCCAGTGATGTCATTATGTTACTGAAGTAAACAAGAGTCCAATGGAGGCATGAAAAAAGGGAAACCCCAAAAGCAGAATAGGGCCTCTTTAAAGGAACCCTCTGCTCTCAGCAGTGAGTGATGGTGTGCTTCTATCCAGCAGGGGCAGACGACAGGCTGTTCAACTCTCCTGCTCCGCTCCCTGATCGGGGCCCAACAGAGGATGAGGAGGGGCCCTCCAAAGTGCCTCCTTACAGCAGACTGACCTGACACCCCCACACTACATAGCCTGGTCCTGTGTGTCTCCATCTCAGAGAGGAGGGGCTGGTTATGTATATATGTTTTTAAAATTGAGCTTCACAATAATTATTTGTGGATTATGGGAATTTAAAGACTCAACTGAAGATGTCATATTGGAATGTTGTAAACCCCTGATTAGACTACAGTCTTTATTTCCTTTTTGACTAAACTAACATTTCTGGAGCCAAACTCATTTAATCTTGCCAAGTTGAATATCTGTATATATAAAATGTCCAGCCTGAAACGCCTAATTCCCTGTGTGCTGTGTGAAAGTGAGATATCTTCTCAATGTATACATTCTTTTGTATGTGTATTTAATAAATAAAACCCTAATGAACACATGACCACATTTTGAAATGTCCAGGGTAGTTTATTGCAGGGTTACACACGTTAACACCATTGCAACTACCTGTCCTGGATAGATTAATTCATTACTCACAGTGTGCACATAGCATTCTGTCACTCCAATGAGAAATACAGTATTTGTTGTTGATGGCTGAAGTGAAGAGAAGGCAAATGAAATGATAGCATTCATAAAACAAAGGTCACTTGAAGAACAGAAGCAACACCCGAAGCTAAGAAAAAGACCCACGTGATGTCCTCCACCGCAGAGAGGGTCGTTGAGAGTCCTGAGAGGTCATGTGACTGCGTGATCAGAAGAGGGGCCACAGGACCAGCTGGGGCCACAACATACATCCAAACAATCATGACATGGAGCCCAACTTGTGGTGCATCTTGGCTTGTGAAGGATTCAATGGTGTCCGCGTTTATCATACAAAGCTGAATAGTTTATCACAAGCTAGCATACGGGAGCCATAGTGGGTGTAGGCTTCTTTTACACTGTAAGAGGTATGTGTTTGATTCACTAGCCTACACAGTACTTTAGTCTTGTTTGATAATCTAGCTAAACAGTGCTGCAGTGATTATGTATTTGTATAGGCCCACCTGGAAGTAAGCAAGGGCTCCTTCGCAAAAAGCAATGGGATTATTCGATTGGATTTTGGAATATTTTAGAAAATCAGATATTTGGCAAACACACTTTTATAACACGTTTTGTTCAACAGGATTATCTCATATTTTTAAGTATAAGTAAAAAGCTAATGCTAGGCCTAAAAAACGAACAAATGTGAATATCTCTTAAGCTTGTGTTAACCACAGACCTCATTTCAGGCTTCTGCCAACAAACACGTTAAAAAATCGTTATCTTTGGGATGAGGCAACTGGAACTGCTAACTCATTTCCAGGTTTTTGGAGTCATTCCTGCACCACTCTCTTTCAAAGCATTCATAAACAAGAGGGAACAGGCAAATCATCACATTCTCTTCATTTCATTTCCATGATCTTAACAGCTTCCCTTTTCGTGACTCTTTCAGACAATTTGTGGTGACACTTCCTCCTCCCTGTTATACAGATAGGATTTTAAGGATTCACCTTAACTGTTACAATGACCAAGGCTGCATCTCACTTCGGTTAAATGAAATCATTGCGTCCCTCACTTTCGTCGTTTCCCTGCGTTTAGTCCCTCTCACCAGGGAAGCATGGAGAGACGCAAGGAAATGAGTTTTAAGAGCAATGGGACGTCCTTTCCTCCGGAGCGTCACGTGAAGCGACGTCCGTTTGTGATGACGCCGCACAGCTGATCGTCCCCGTTATTTTCGCTAACACACATTTACCGACATAAACATATGTATCATCTGTGACAAAGGCCACTGGGACGCTACTCAAGATGGTGCAGACAAATCAACTTCCGGTGATACTGAGACCGAGGAGCGAGGAAATGAGAAATAACCGAAGTGAGACGCAGCCCATGACTAGCTATGGAGCTAACACTGTAGCCACCAGGGCTAGCAGTAGCCAGTTACAGCTCTCTCAATAACGAAATGGCCCAATCACACCGATGTTTAGGAACACCTGTCATTCAAACCTTGCTCACCTTAACGTATAGAATCTTATAATACACCAGCGTAGTAATCAACAGAGGGTTGAGATCGTGCTTTGACTATCCATAAATATGCAAACAGAAGATTATTGGAATGTAGAGAGAAGTCAGTATTCGGATAGAATACTGGACATGTTTTATTTCCATCATGTGGAATTGGGCAAGTGTTGCATTTTCTAACTTAGTGTTCATTGCACTTTCTGTTACTCATAAGCATGACATTGATTTCATTTTGAAATCTAATTACACACTTCACATCCCTACAAAATAAAATCACTCCAATGAACACGACTCCAAAACAATCAAACTGTAAACACTGAAAAGCATGTATAAAATAACTCACAGGCATGCGAATAAATGATCCTCTTCTATATGAGGTGTGTGTGTGTGTGTGTGTTCTGATTGTGCAGCATCCATTCTCCCTTTATAGACCTCGACTCGATGCAAGCTTCATGGTGTAGTGCAGCCCTGAAGTTCTCCCTCAGCATCCGCCGCTGCAACCCCAGCTCCTCGCTCCCTCTCCCCCTTCTGTCCCCCCCTTGCTCAGGTTGATGGTGCCCCCTGACCCCACAGGGGGCTGGCTCAGTACCAGGGGCTTCTGAGACTTGAGCTTGTGTGCCACCGTCAGAAAAATAGCCTCCACATGGTCACTGTTTCCTCTGTCTCCCTGGCTGTTTGGGTTTTTCGCGGACGTCTCGAACAGGGGCATGGAGTGGGTGTCTGCAAACTGCTGCGCCACGTCTGTACCCACCTGGACCGAGTCTTGGAGGTCACACTTGTTCCCCACAAGAATCCTGGGTACCTCAGAGCCCAGAGCGTGCTGCTTACACTCCTCTATCCAGGCCGGCAGGCTGCGGAAGCTGGTGCCGTTGGTGACATCGTAAACGAAGACCACGGCGTGCACGTTGCGGTAGTAGTGCTGCACCATGGACTTCCTGAAGCGCTCCTGGCCCGCAGTGTCCCATAGCTGGATCTGCAGGAGGACAGTTTGGAAATTAATCAAATCCTAAAAGCACCCGAATCACGAATGAAATGAATTCCAATAAGAACAGAGCTCCATTGTTGTCCAGAAACTATTGAAAACACGTAATAGAGCCACAATGTTGCATTTGTTCAATCATTTAGGAAACTTCACACAAAGAAAATCAAAAGCTGATTCAGCACCATGGACAGGGCCGGCAGTGTCTCACAGAGAACCCTTCTCCATCTTATTGTCAGACTTTACGTGTTTACAAGCCTCCGTGTGTGTAGGGGCTGTGGACGTGTGGAGGGGGTCCAGATGTGTGTGTAGGGGCTGTGGACGTGTGTAGGGGTCCAGATGTGTGTGGAGGGGGTCCAGATGTGTGTGTGGATATGTGGAGGGGGTCCAGATGTGTGTGTAGGGGCTGTGGATGTCTGGAGTGGGTCCAGATGTGTGTGTAGGGGCTGTGGATGTGTGGAGGGGGTCCAGATGTGTGTGTAGGGGCTGTGGATGTGTGGAGGGGGTCCAGATGTGTGTGTAGGGGCTGTGGATGTGTGGAGGGGGTCCAGATGTGTGTGTGGGAGGGATGTAGGTGTATATAGCTTTTAGGTGTATGTGTGTGTGTATGTAGGGGCTGTAAGTGTGCGTGTAGTGGCATAAGGTATGTGTGTAGGGACTGTCAGTATGTGTAATGGCTGTAGGTGTGTGTTGTGTGTGTATATGCTCGTATGGGTGTGTGTGTGTGTGTGTCTGTGTGTGCTGTGTATATGTGAGTATAGGCCTTTAGGTGTGTGTCGGGGCTGTGGGTGTATGGGAAGGGGGCTGTATGTGTGTGCAGGGGCTGTGTATATGTGAGTATAGGCCTTTAGGTGTGTGTAGGGCTGTAGGTGTGTGTAGGGCATAGTTCAGTAACAGGCGGACCGCGGTCCGGATCTGGACCCAGACGCCGACCTATACGGACCCGGACATATAATCAATACATTAAGAGGGGATTTAAATGTTGACGGGGCGATTCTATTTTAACCGCGGCCGACAGGGGGCGAAAGAGACGAGTGAGCGATACAGGGAGAGAAACACAGAAGAAGAGACGAGAGCGCGATACAGGGAGAGAAACACAGAAGAAGAGACGAGAGCGCGGCAGAGAGAAGCGGAGAGGACAGTGAGTGAAGAGAATAATTAGCGATACAGGGAGAGAAGCGGAGAGGAGAGTGAACAGGCGTGTTAGCGGCAGACAGGGAGAGACACATAATTACACATTGCGCTCTCCAAGAAGAGGAAAGTGGACAGTGAGAACAGAGCTTTTAACCCTGAGTGGACTCATTCATGTCCATCCTGCCCACTGGGAGCACAGAACCAGTGTGTCTCATTTGTTCAGAGACCGTGGCGCTCATTAAAAGCGCCAAAACGCCACTATGAGACAAAACACTAAGTGTTTGACCAAACATTCCCTCTCAAGTCAGAACTGAGGTCACAACAAATAAGCAGTCTCAGAGCCCAATATGATCAGTCCACCAGGATCAAAATTAAAACTAAATATCGTTCCAGGGCAGGCTAACCGAGGCTAACCTGCATGTGTGTGAGAATGGCCCTGACACCATTTCAGCCCAGATTTAAACTCCTGGCAGGACAATCTCCCGCTCAATCCTCGCACTGAACAGAACAAAGTGAGTGAGGGACTGCAATATAAGAGGGAAAGAATGAGAAACTTTAAAACGGTTCAATTGTTATGATGTGTAAAGACTGATATTGTTCTATAATCGGCTGAAACAGTTAAGTCATGATGTGAAACGGTTAACAAAGAAAAAGGGAAACTCAAGCTGCTGCTACACTTTATTTTATTTATCTAAAATTAAGCACTTTTAAGATGCACATATTTTCAAAAGCTATTTTATTTATTTTCTCTATTTTATTTTTAAATGCAGCCCGAGGGGAACATTACACATATCCACAGTATTTACTGTATATCTGTATAGTTCAATGTTAATTGACAATAAATATTGTTGTTTTTGAATTGTACTTTCTTTATTTGGCAGTCAGTTGTTGATTACATGCAGACGTTGATAAAGCTACAGCTACTTCAATATATATCACACTAATTCATGAAGCAAGTTAGACATTTTGATGTTCCGGACCTTTGCATGGGGACATTTTCTCTAACTGGACCTCGTTGAATTTGAGTTAAATACCCCTGGTGTAGGGCTGCAGGAGAGGATGTTGTCTAGACTCCTCTCTCCTCAAGTCTCTTCCTCGCTTCATAGGCTCACATCTCTCTCGTGGGGACTAAGACACAAGGAGAGGACTCATGAATGTCCAAACTGGGAAATAGTAAAGGCCAGATTAACCATATGGGCACAATGGGCACGTGCCCAGGGGCCCTTGAGCAAGAGAGGACCCTCAGTGAGAAGAGAAAAACTATTTATTTTTTGGCACTACCTCACTCCTCATACATTGTTTTAAATTAAACTCACTCGCAATAAATAACTCGGCTTTTCTAGAGGGTCAAATTTATATATGTTCTAAACTGTCTCTGTACCGTACGTCTCACTATGTATGCGCTCAACTTTATTACTACGCGGCAGCAGTCTATAGCCGAATCACAACCCCACCTTCACTCATCATGTCACACTGACATTGTGTCACGAGCTGAAGGGATGGTGCCGGTAGCAGCCGAACGCCCAGCGGGGCGGCGGAAGGAAAGAAAGGAAGGAAGAGAGAGTGGCGGCTGCTTTAAAACATTTCCCAACAATAAATAGCTTTTTCAAAAAAGCTAAACGTGATGAATTAGGCCAGCAACCACAAGGAACAGTGACGAAAAGGGCGAAACACACACACACACACACACACACACACACACACACACACACACACACACACACACACACACACACACACACACACACACACACACACACACACACACACACACACACACACACACACACACACACACACACACACACACACACACACACACACACACACACACACACACACACACACACACACACACCACACACACACACACACACACACACACACACACACACACACACACACACACACACACACACACACACACTTTACTTTTGTAACTCTCGATGTTTGTGACAAACAGAACTCCTTGTGGACTTGTACAGCCAGCCAGTCATATGTTGGCATTTGAAGTGGGGTGCTGCTCTGAGGTTTTGAGTGATATTACCTAGCTCTTATCCATTGTATCATTGTCTTGTGATGTTTGACTGAAAGGGCAAAAGGCTAGACCTACTTTGGTTGAACTATGTAGCTGCGTCCCTGCTTTTGACAAATAGGTGTGCGAATGGAATGAAAATGTAAAATATTGGTCATGTTCGCTAGGCGTGTTGTTACGTGGGTTGAGGGGCCCTGAGCTCTCAGTGCCCAGGGGCCCCTGGAGGTATTAATCCGGCCTTGGGAAAGGCCCTGTGTGTCCGCTGTGTCTTAGTCAGTTAGTCAATGCAACCAGTGAGTGGAATTACTGCTGCTTTCCCCTTGAGTTTTCAGTTTGGATACTGGATGATGTCCTCTCACTAACCATGAGAAGTCTTTCTAATGCTTGCAAGCACTGCAGCAACAATATACTTAAAACCTGGAAATCAGGACAATCTCCAGCATGGGAACACTGGATCAATTACGTTGTATCCAATGTTCTCCTGAGAAAATAATGATTTATAACACTATATTCCTATAGTTAGACCAACTGACATATCTACGGGCTGATAACCTCTTACTCAAATTGTTATGGATAGTTTCTGCTCTTCCTGTATACGTAAGCTACATATTTGATGAGATGTACATGACTATAGTCTCCACATCAACAGACACCCAGAGTGATGGTCTGCATCTGGTCCGTTTCTAATTTTTTTCTTAACAGGGTCCCGTGTCTGCTGGCAGGCACACCTTGATTTTCTCTCCGTCAATCTCCACCAGCCTCTCCCTGAAGTCCACCCCGATCGTGGCCTCGGTCTTCTCGGGGAACTTGCCGGCACAGAAGCGGTACGTGAGGCAGGTTTTCCCGACACCCGAGTCTCCGATCACGATGATTTTGAAGATACGGGTCCTCGGCGGCGGAAGATTCGAGCTCGTCAGAGAGCCGGAAAATTCAACCGACGAGCCGCTCTCCGCCATATCAGTCCAGCAGACCGGAGAGTCGGCAGAAAGCTTGTTTACAGCAGCTGCAGCAGGAAGTAAACGTCACAGCCCCGCTCCCGCTGCTGCTGCTGTGTCGCCGGTCAATAAAATGCTTTTTCGAGAACAGCTAAACTTAAAGAATACACAGCATGTACTCCACGTTCAGGTTTTCAATCTACAAACAGTACATCCACCTCTCTGTAAACAAACCCTGCCAGGCCTCAGCTGTGAAGCCACGTAGGCTACATGATGTTCAACGTAGAGATTTCTCGCGAGAGGAAGATTTGGAGCATTCACTGACCCATTGTAAATACAGTCAAGTCAAACTTCCTACAAGAAACTCATACACCAAAAATGTAGGTGATTCTAGAAATTAAATCTGTAGGACAAGGTTCATATCATAGACTGGCTGTATAAAGTTTGTATACAAAAATAAGCATTATACAAGCGAACTCCCTGCCAGGCAGAATGCAGTGGGATACTGTTGCATAGACGGTTTAAAATAGGATATAACAAGAGCGACATCTGCTGGTTACATTAAGTGGAGGATTAAAGATTGACTAAACCTTTCTTTGATCTCAACCCGAGGTAGAGCCTTGAACCATAGTATGGGTAGACCAGAGAAATACCATGTTTGTTTCATTCGTTTTTCATGTCTTGTTTAATAAATAAATAAAGGTAGTGTAAACATATTTTACTGCAAAATGCACTTCCTATCTTACTTATCACATGTGTCCCTAAAAATAAGGATCTCTAAATGTGGACTAGATGTTGACAGACAGGCCGCGTTGCATACAACAAAGCCTTATTCCAGCTATAGCCTACCTTTGAAGTTGATACATGGCAACACCCATGCATTTGAGCAGAACATGAGTTATACACGCTGGCCCTAGCCCCATTGAACATAAGCTCAGGGTGCCTGCAGGGACTTGCACCGAGCCCCTCTCTACTCTTCTCCCTCTCAATCTCTGCCTCAAAATTAGGATTTAGTTGGAAGATGGCTATAGTGCTAAAACAGCACATATTGCACTGATAAGGGAAATTGACCCTGTCTGCTTTCAAAGTCTCAGGTTTTCTATTTTTTGTTTTAAAAACTGAAAGTCTGAGGTATGGCCTTAAAAAAGACGAGTCAACAGCTGAGTGATGACAAAAGAGGGTCAAAATGTAACCTGTATTATACAACTGCTGAATTAGGTAACACCTATTCAATATTGTCAAAAAAATCGATTGCATATTTTTTAAAGCTAAACATTTTTGAAATGCCCTTATAATCATGATTTTCCCACTCTATATAAATATACAAAGTATTCCAAACAAACAACAGAGCAGGTTTTCTACCTGCGTATGTCCCTTAGATTTTGATCATGTATTAGTTTATATATTTAAAAAGGAACTCAAGTAGGCTACCTAGCTATTTCTATTGCTGGTGGAGTTAATAAAACGAACAATGATATAGTGAACAGGGTATGTTCTTCTGGCTCTACTTGATACATAATTGAGACACGCAGCAGGTAAGTCTTATTATTCTATTCTGCCACCAACTGTATTGGAGTGTGTAGAAGGCCTATCATAGCATTATGTTATCTAAAACAAAGTAATCATTTTTAAAACAACGTATTTATAAATCGCATCCTATTTCCAAGTCCTGCCTTTATAATCAATATAATATTATAATATGATCAACCCCCTTCTGATTATCCTGAAGTCCTGTCCTCTGCTTTTGGGTTTAGACCTCATTCTTGTACTATACGTCTTATTGTCTCCCTCTCAAAAATATATGCATAATAATGAGTTGTATATCGTTAACGTGTTACACCACTGACACAAATTGTATTGTATTGTACCCATTACACGTAAGTTCATTCAGCATCACTCACTGATGCAACACATGTGACACCGGTGTCCCCGCACACCCATCTACATTACATCCATGGTTACATCATGACCTTCACATGGCCACTACGCATGTGTGCCCTTTTCTGTTACTGATCAAAAAGAGGCAAAAATAGCAGAAATGTGCTACGATTGAGTATCAAGCATTTTTCTAATTTCGTATGCATATAATATAAAGAATAAAAAATGTACTTACATGTTATAAAGAATTATATAATGTTGCTTAAACCATTAATATCACTCAGGCAGTAAATGTGAAGCCCGATTCGGGGTCCTTCAGCGGTGCTGGTGCAACATGTGTTGGATAATTCTAGAAAAGCTTCGCAGTTGCTCTTGTGTTGGACCTTAGCTCGAGCTCGAACCCTCTAAGCGGCTACCCCTGGAAAAGAACCCCGGAGAGTAGACATCTTTTTGTTTTTCTTCGCTTTTCAACATTTCAGGGAGCTCCTTTCTACACTAGACGTTTTATTACGTTGGCATTTATTTTTACATTAGCTTGTTAGCCGAGTTGTCAAAATGTTGAGTGTCGCCCAAATAGTTTCAAGGTCTCTCCCGAAAAAGAACTCCACAACAAATGTCTCCTCTTTGGTGAAGAAGGTGGGTTGCAAAATAATGTATTTTAGGTTAAACAGTTGTTAATATCAGTGACGAGTGTATGTATAAGATTTGACAATCTGCCGGCTAGCTTAGCATGCTAAATGTGTTAGCTTGGAGCTAGCTTACCTCATCGTGACTACCAATATGTCACTTGTGGCGTTAGTTAGCTAACATTGGCTCGGTGTTATTCCTCTCCTTTTAATAATCACGGTATTAAGAGTTTGTGCATACTTGCTAACAATGCGTTAGGGACACCAGATGTTTGGAGCTAAGGTAACCGTATGCAGTACCTGTCATGTGTTGAAACTACAATCTACAAAGAGTTACAATTATTTCTGTATGTGTGTCATTTATTAGATGTAAGTAATGACTGAATTAGTATCTAATTTACTAGATTTAAGTTAAGCATGCGTGTTGTAAGAGAATGGCTCACGATTAATGTGACCTTCAATGAGTGCATCCCCACCCCCTAACATGGTGCAACATTTGTTACATGTTGTTCCTAAGTTTAATACATTCAGAAGCCTTTGATCGTCTGCTTATCAACATATTAAAGGCTGTTATGTTGTACGTGAGCTAATCGACTTCTAGCACAGTGTCACCTTCCTTATGCATTTGATCACCCACAGATTTAAAGGTTAATGTCATGTCTGTCCTGTTCGAATGAAATCCCTTAAGCTTACAGTTGTTCGTGGTCTACTCTGAGAAATGTCTAAATCAAACATCATTTATTGTAATATCATGTCATTTGTGGCATACTTCTTTGTGACTGGAGTATCATAATTGTATAACAACCCTGTTGTACAATACCACTTAACATGTGCAGTTGTAAAATGCATAATATTTACTATTGTGATAATCATGGCTGCTACTTTAGGACTATTACATGGCACTTTCTTAAATGTTACTTGTTTCTACTTCATTACTGTTATGCAATGCTGCTACTTATTTGTAACCATGGATGTGTACTTTTTAAATGATCTCTAATTAACATGTGTTTGTATCTGTTTTGCTGTTTCTAAACAGGCTTCCTGGAGCGGCTTCCAACCCGATGCTCTCAGGGCTCTGTCCAGAAGAGACTATGCGTGAGTAACATCAGCACAAAACCTATAATATCTTGGTGTACTGTAAAGATGTAGTTGATAAATTGGTGCTGATCGTAAAGTCAAAGCGTCATTTATTTACATAATCAAAAATACTTTACATGTGTTCCAATCCACTAATGGATTATTGAGATTAAGAGTTTTTCACAAGTACTCAGTTCTTGGTGGTTCTTGGTCATCCCTACTAATAATAACAACTGTGTATATGTTCTGTGTTGCAGGTCAGAGGCGGTCAAAGGCTCCGTCATTGGCATTGACCTGGGAACCACTAACTCATGTGTCGCCGTCATGGATGGGAAACAGGCAAAGGTGAGAATGAACTTCACTGAACACACAACTGTCATGGACAGTAAAGTATGTCGACTTTGTGACCTTAATTATGTTACAATTGTGCTTTTGAAATAGCTGGGTTTATTACATTTGTGTTTACGTGAACTCGGTGTAGTTCAGAATCTCTGGCCTTCACATTTAGGTGGTCACACACACACACACACATATTCTTAATCAACATGACTTGGGACAGGATTATTTATGGGGAATTGGGGGGGGGTTCTGGGATTGGTCCACTTGGACCTGGGCATGGTTACGTCACTGTGACCAGGAAGAAGCAAATGGAAAAAGAGAAATGTCCAACGAGGCGATCTGGGGCAGCACAGACGGGTCTTCTCTGTGTTAGAGTTTTACTCGCTACAGGGTGCACTTTGAGGGTTTGTGACTCTGCTGACCGTTTACATGCAGAACAAGCTACATAACACACAAGGGGACGGGTAATAACCAGACAAGCATGACGTGGGACCTTTAACACTTGATTATATTTCACATCATTCATCCAAATCTGTAAAGGTATTAATACATGTAGTGGAGTAAAAGTACACCTTTTACCTCTGAACTGTAGAGGAGCAGAAGAACAAAGTAGCAAGACATTGAAATACTTAAATAAAGTACAAGTATCTCAAAATTGTACCCAAGTATAGTACTTGAGTTTATGAACTTAGTTACTTTACACCAGTGGCTATACGGATAGAATATACCCTCCAGAAAAATGCGGGCTAAAATCCTTGATTATGCGATCAAACAGGGTTTTATGTGATTTTATGCGGTGAAATTGCGGGAAGTTGTGAAATATGCGGAAAAAATAAATATTGGGATGTCTTATTTATTTATTCTCTCTCACACACAACCTGCCACTAACGTTAAACCCCTTTACTATTCAATTTAACACATTACATGTTTATTTATTGTAAAAGCAATTGGGCTATTTTAATCACACTCTCTCACACACTCACACACACACACACTTCTCCGCCTCATTCTGTTTTCATTTACTCGTTCGTTATCTGACCAGCTTCAATCTTGTAGGCTTCTCACCTCGTTTCTTGTAGCCCTCGAAAGGGTTTTGGAGGTTGATGCCTCGGTGAACGACAGTTGTTTGGCTTTCTTCTCCGCAGCAGCAGAAAGCATGTTTGAATGAATCAAAGTGGGTCGTCACTGTGGATTTTCTCTTATACTCCAACACACAGTTGCACGGGGTGCAGAATAGTTTCCCCTAGGGCTGTGCGATTATGGCAAAAATCATAATCACGATTATTTGGTCAATAATTGATATCACGATTATTTTGACGATTATTCATTGACCATTTATTGAACTTTAAAACAAATAATATTTTACCAATAAACAAGATCAATAAATATGTTGGAGCGCTCTTCCAAAACCATACTAAACATATATTAATATGATAAATAAAAATAAATTAGACCCAAATAAATGAAATCAAACATGTTGCAGTCCACTGTCACAACCTACTGAAAACTCCTTAACATATAGCCAACATGTTGGTAAAACATATTCAACATATTCCACTCAGTTAAACGTTGAAGGCTGGCCAACCGTCATGGTCCAGAAGTAACAGGAAATAAATGTTGAACTACAATTTAAGACCAAATACAAATGTTTTGGCCACCATGGCAAATGCTGGTAGGGCTGCTCATTTCATCTCTTAAAGATTGTTCGCAAGAAACACCAGCCTGTTTACATGGTCTGGTTTCAGAGATGAGCGCAGGCAGGTGACGATATTGCCACCTGTACTGAAGACCCTCTCTGAAGAGGAACTTGTGGCAGTGCTGCCACATATGACACAGGACAAAAAGAAAAGACTCTGAACCCTTTCTTTGCCATTATATAAAAACAGTGTTGCTACAAAAGTATAAATGAGGCTTACTAATAAGACAACTCAGATCTGAAGCTACACAGTAATCTGCTGCAGCAACAGTGCAATAAAAAAGACAACATTAATAGAATCAAACCCATTTTTTGTTGCATTTTATTAGAGTATAAAAAGAAATGCCTTTAAAATAGGATGCAAGCAACAATAGTTTCTGAACTGATAGACTATAATCAATTTAAACAGAACAGATCTGAATGTTTGCATTCTTATACCATTTTGTACAATAATTATCATGAATAAATTCAAACAAACAAAAACTTACAGCTGATTAATAACGGTATCCAAATTGAGTTTTTATTATATCAAAAACCTGTTGAAATGCTGCTGTTATTTTTACTGTCCCACAAAAGCGCGTCGCAGCCTCCAGGAATGCTTCTTTCATAACTTCGCCGTCGTTGAAAGACTTCATGTGTTTCTCAAGAACGTGACTGACACGATAAGATGCTCTGGTAGCAGCCTTGCTCTTGTTGTTGGGCCTGGTGGAAATGGACTGCTGTGCATTTAGCTGTGCTTTCAGGCCCCTCCCCTTTTGGAGCGTAGGACAGAATTAGGAGGGAATTCCGTCTCGTAGCGTTTGTGCAGTTTTGAAATGCCGCTCCTAAATTACCCTTCTTCGATAAAGCCACGCTCGCATTGCAGATGAGACAGATGGACTTTGAATTGGAATAGATACAAAAATAATGATCCTCCCACTCGGAGTGAAAATTATATATTTTGGGCTTTTTTGCTTCTGCCATAATTGCGGTCTTGTGTGTGTGCGGACTGTCACTCCTGTTGACCATCCATGCTGTTGACACGGACAAAGTCAGCGAACTAGTGCACTGCTCAAAGCCACGCCCGGACACATGGGGTGAGGCCGGCCAATCACAAAGCTTTGATGCGTTCAAGTGCATTATTCTGGCACGGGAACATTATGTTACAGGACATTAACGATAAAACAGAATATTGTTCTATTTTTAGACACATCTCGCGATCGACTGGGAATCTCCCCGCGACCCTTCTTTTTAACTAGTTGCTGCTCTTGTTCTGACATCTTCGCTCGCGCTGAACACTCACAACACATGTCACTCCCACGTGGCCGAGTGGGCTTTTAGGGAGGGGCGAAAGCGCACCCAGCAAAATAATCGTATTTTGTCAATTATGCTGTTTTCCTAATCGTCGCAAACCGTAATCGCGATTAAAATACGATTAATTGCACAGCCCTAGTTTCCCCCCACTTTCGTGTAAGACATCGGGGCACTGCTTTGCCCGGTCTTTAGCAGAAATGTTCGTCGGTAAATGAGATGGATTAGATTTTTTCATTTTGGTGTTTTCTCTCTCGTGTGACGTCGCGTCATCATCATCATCACTACACGTCAAGACGAGTTAACTTTTTTTCCCTCAACTTTGTGTGGAAAAATGCGGGGATTATGCGGCCTTTTGATAAATATGCGGCCTTTTAAAAATCTGCGCCATTTTGCTGATTATGCGGTAAATTCTGCGATCGCAGAATCGCGTTTTTCTGGAGGGGATAATAGAAAGACTAAGCCTTGCACAGAGGCATGAAAATACATTTTCAAAATGCTCAACAGTGCTGCCAGAATTATAAACCGACTGCTACACAATTAAAATAAATGCTTTTATATATTTCTATTAGATGTAACTCTTTGGCGTTTCTGTTATTATTACCTGCTGCTTTAGTTGCTCTGACTGCTAACATCCTGTTATTCCTCATTTTAATGCTGATATTCCGGGGGGGTGCTCGGGTCCTTGTCACCTTTTTCATACCTGATGAGTTTGCATCCCTGATTATTGATAACCAATTTCTTGGTTATAGTTTGCTCCCATACCATTTTCTAACATACTAATACACATCTTTGTTAATGTTGTGACAACATATTTTAGCTTGGGGAAAAAAACCAACCCATTTTGAATCAGTTTTCCACGCGGCATGCTTTGTGAGCAGGGAAGCATGTTCAAGCTTTTTCCACAAAGTTAATACCAACACCACATCAAAAACATTTGTAAGCTTGAGATACAAAACTTAGTCTGACATGTTAGTTTCTTCTTGATGTACATTATTTTAAAGCGTTGATAAGAGGTGTAAATCACCACACCATATCATATACATTATTCGGAAGACATTTGCAGATGTCACGAAGTCTGCTACAAACACATTTCAATTGCACTCGGGGCCCGGGATGTATATGATCTGACAGAAGAGCATGAGACGGATAACCTGCCTTTCCCTCAGTGCTAATGGCACTTCAGAGATTTAGCAGGGCAGGAATACAACCAATCAGAGCCGGGGATTCTCTAACGCAGCGCCAGTCACTGTTTTTCTCTATGTCAGTCTCCTATCTTGCCCCGACTCGGTATATTCTCCAAGTTTGGAACCACCAGTTTTTACTTAAGTTGAAATATACCTTGTTGGCACCTTGAACGATGCCACCATGTTTGTTTATTAAAGTGTCATTCTTTTAAGATAGTTTGCTGTCTGAACTCTGCAGTGTCACTCAATTGCAGAGCTCATATATTTGCTTAGGGAAGTTTATTTTTGGCAAACATGGGTGTTTGGAGAATTACTTTTCAACAAGTTCTGACATCTCCATTTTTATTAACTCAATTCTGATACGGTTACAGTTTATTATCATTGAAAAATGTATCATTTTGCAAAATAATTTAATTGATTTAAGATAAATAATTGTTTATCATCAGAAAGCTCTAAGAGAAACTATTATGCATATACATTACAGCAGTTTAACGGAAGACTTGGGTACGCCATGCAAGGGAATAATGCCTCTGCCAGGGTAAATGAACTGAAGAACTTCTCCTCCCCTCAGGTGTTGGAGAACGCAGAGGGAGCTAGGACAACTCCTTCTGTCATCGCCTTCACAAGCGAGGGGGAGCGCCTGGTGGGCATGCCCGCCAAACGCCAGTCAGTCACCAATCCTCAGAACACACTGTACGCCACCAAGAGACTGATCGGACGCCGCTATGACGACGCTGAGGTGCAGAACGACATGTGAGTGACCTTTGGCATTCTACATTACTCCTGCACTCGTGAATGGTTTCCCTTAGGGTGTAAGCAGGGTGTAAGGACAATGTCCCTGAGGACAATATGTGATATTGGGTCAGTGGTTCGCAAACTTTTTCTGTCAGGCCCCCCCTTCGGAGAAAAAAGAAAAGTTGGGTTAGGGTAACCCCATGTCGCCTCTTTATGTGCGTCGTTATGTTCCTCGTACTACTTGTGTACTTTAAAGCGGCATCGTTTACAAAATGCGAGCGATTTTTCAAGTTGTCCGTCTTTCTTGAAAAATCCGAAGTGTTGCCAAACGTTTGACTCCAGAGGGTTAAAGACAAAATGACTGAACGGATAAACAGATGAATAAACCTGATTCATTAGCCTAAAGATGTTAAATATGCCTTTTTTCTGTTCACAGGAAGAACGTCCCCTACAAGATTGTGCGTGCTTCTAACGGTGACGCCTGGCTGGAGGCTCATGGGAAACTGTACTCCCCCAGCCAGGCTGGAGCCTTCGTCCTGATGAAGATGAAGGAGACTGCAGGTATGAGCAAACGGTGCCCGTGTTTCTTTGATGTTTTATTATCTATACATGAGCATTGGTTATAGTAATGATTTTATATTTGTGTTGCAGAGAACTTCCTGGGAACCAAAGTGAAGAACGCTGTGGTCACCGTACCAGCATACTTCAACGACTCCCAAAGACAGGTACGCTCACACACACTCAGCATGATGCTCTGACGGACCAGTCTGAATCCATTTGGTCAGTGGAGTTGGTCTGACTGATAATAATAAATATATATACATAAATCAATGTGAGCACTAAAACAATCCGATAAGCAATTATCTTTCAGAAATAACAGCAGACATCTCATGGGTTTATCTAGAAAAATATAGTATGAGGTTGCTAACGTCACTTCCGTAATTTTTTTGACGGCAACAATAATTCTTTACGTCCTCTACAGAAAAAAGGACGGTAAAAGAAAAGGTCTAATTCAGAAATCACAGTTTAAGTGTAAGCATGCTGCCTGCCGCTCGTCCGCCGGCAGACCTACTGGACATCCATCCCCTATTTGTTCTGAACTTTATCAAAACAAATGTCTGGCGGTTTATTTGACACGATTTTCATATTTGTTGTGTAATTAGAGTTTTTGACGAAAACAAAATATTGTTTTCGAAGAAGGACACGCATGGATGTACACTGCAATGTGAGAGGGCGGCAGACAAATAAAGATGTTGTGTATCCCTGGTGCTGCATTAAAAGTGTGGACAAAATATTTGCAAACACAATATTCTCAAATATGTTTTATTGTGTTTTTTTTTAGGCTACCAAAGATGCGGGTCAGATCGCTGGTCTGAACGTCCTGCGTGTGATCAACGAGCCCACAGCCGCTGCGCTGGCCTACGGTCTGGAGAAAACTGAGGATAAAGTGTGAGTGGAGAATTCATTCACGGGCCAGATCCTGTTAAAGAGAAAACCAAAGAACTGTTCAAAAAGCAATCGAAGGGTAAAAGTAGAAATGAATGTATAACTTATTTTTCTTGAATGTAATTAGAAAAATAAGGGTAGATAAATGAGAATTTAGGGTCCTCTCAGTGGAAAGTTTACTTATGTTTCATATGAATGACTATTTATTGTATTCGTAGTAGAAGTTTGTATGTCTGTTTTTGTGTATGTGGCTTTAGTGTGTAAATGGGTATTTAGATTGTATGCGTGTGTGGACCCCCGAAAGAACGTCCATTAGTCATGCTAACGGGGATCATAATAAAGACGCAAGAGGGGCCTGGTACTGAAGGACAAGTGATGGTGCTGCATAAGGAAACACTGTCCGGTCATTTCTTCAGCTTTTGACGTGTTATTGAAATGACCTTTCCGTTTCCAGTATTGCCGTCTATGACCTGGGTGGAGGTACGTTTGATATCTCTGTCCTGGAGATCCAGAAGGGGGTTTTTGAGGTGAAGTCTACCAACGGAGACACCTTCCTTGGAGGAGAGGACTTCGACCAGCACCTCCTCAGACACATTGTCAAGGAGTTCAAGAGAGAGTCTGGTGTGGATCTGACAAAAGACAACATGGCTCTGCAGAGAGTCCGGGAGGCTGCTGAGAAGGCCAAGTGTGAGCTGTCCTCTTCTCTGCAGGTAACATAACCCTCATAGTCCCTCATGCAACAGGCCTCAAGTCAAAATACACTCCATGAGAAATTCATAGTTATACCTAAAAACATTTTGGCATGCGGTTTATTCTTCACTGATTTAATATGTTATTAAATATCAAGAAGACCCCTTTAGTGAGTTATTTTTATTAAAATGTTTTCCTGTTTATTTAAAACGCTGGATATTCTCTCTTCCAGACGGACATCAACCTGCCCTACCTGACCATGGACGCCTCCGGCCCCAAACATCTGAATATAAAGCTGACCCGCTCTCAGTTTGAAGGCATCGTGGGTGACCTGATCCGACGCACAGTGGCTCCCTGTCAGAAGGCCATGCAGGACGCTGAGGTGTCCAAGGGAGACATCGGGGAGGTGCTCCTGGTGGGAGGCATGAGCCGCATGCCAAAGGTAAACACACCGTGTACAACGCGGTTACATCCACAACACTACTGTTTCTAATTAGTGCAGAAGCTTTCCATTATTATATTGAGTATTCTAATGTTGAAATACTTTTGAGTTATTAAAGAGCAAAGTTAATTAAGGGAGACCAAAACAAGTCATCTGTTTCCTCTCAACATTTGTAATGCAAACAAATACAAATAAAAGGCTCCCTACATGCTTGCAAATAACCCATTTTAGGAGATTTTCCCCATAGAAAAATGGCGCTCTGTAAGGAACAAAGACGAACGTACTCGCCAGAAGTTTACCTGAATGCATCATTGTTTCTCCTGCAGGTTCAGCAGACGGTGCAGGATCTGTTTGGCCGTGCGCCCAGCAAATCAGTCAACCCCGACGAGGCCGTTGCCATCGGAGCAGCCATCCAGGGTGGTGTTTTGGCCGGTGATGTCACTGATGTGCTGCTGCTGGATGTGACACCACTGTCTCTGGGTATCGAGACCCTGGGCGGTGTCTTCACCAAACTCATCAACAGGAACACCACTATCCCCACCAAGAAGAGCCAGGTACTGACAGATGCTTCAGCTTTATAGTGAGCTGTTGCCTCTTTGCCATTTAAAAAAAGCTGTTAGCAGGTGTTTTATATATATATATATATATATATATATATATATATATATATATATATATATATATATATATATATATATATATATATATATATATAAATAAATATAAAAAAAGTGTATACATGTCCTAATGTATCTCACTGCTCCCTCCAGGTGTTTTCCACAGCAGCTGACGGTCAGACTCAGGTGGAGATCAAGGTGTGTCAGGGGGAGCGAGAGATGGCTGCTGACAACAAGGTGATGGGTCAGTTCACTCTGGTGGGACTCCCACCCGCCCCCCGCGGTGTTCCTCAGGTGGAGGTCACCTTTGACATCGACGCCAACGGCATCGTCCACGTCTCCGCCAAGGACAAGGGAACGGGCCGCGAACAGCAGAGTGAGTGTCACATAATGAGCTGAACTTAAGAATTGACTGCTAAGTCTTCAGTTAGAATGAATATGAATAGAGTGGAGCAGTGATGACATATTTCTGTAGGCCTACCAGAAAGTTAGCGTCACAAGGATCCCTCGTCAAAAAGTGTTAGGAATATCAAGAAATGAGGATCTGTGGCAAACAATCATTTGGTTTCATGACAGTTGCACTATATTACATAAAATACATTTTGATATAAACATACGTTGAAGAAAATATGTACAAAGAAATAGTAATGTTTATGATACTGAACTCCACATATTAACACCACTTTGTGATTGTTTTTGAAGCATAAATGCAATTGCCAGAAATAAAAAGCTAACGTTAGGCTATAAACAAACGACATCCCGGTCTTATGGCTGTGCTTACAGCAGGCATTACAAAGATAATACAAATAAACACCACAGGTATACAATACATGTTTAAAAGGCATACTGTAGTTCGAATATGAGCAGCTCAATTAAAAGCAGCGGCAAAGAGATATGTTTTTAGTCTGGATTTAAAAATAGTAAGCGTTTCTGCGGACGTGCATGATTTGGGTAGTTTGTTCCAGAGTGTCGGGGCATAATAGCTGAATGCTGCCTCTCCATGTTTTGTTGTTACTGTCGGAGCCGATAGCAGACCCGTCCCAGAAGACCTGAGGCACCTTGATGGCTCGTAATTATGCAGGAGTTCAACAATATACTTTGGTCCTAAACCATGTAATGATTTAAAAACTAGCAATAGTACTTTAAAATCTATTCTTTGGCCGACTGGAAGCCAGTGTAGAGACTTCAGAACCGGACTGATGTGATCCACTCTTTTAGTGTTAGTGAGGACTCGAGCAGCAGCGTTCTGGATCAGCTGCAGCTTTCTGATGAATTTTTTTAGTCAGCCCTGTGAATACACTATTGCAGTAGGCGAGTCTACTGAAGATAAAAGCATGGACAAGCTTTTCTAAATCCTGTTGTGATATTAGTTTTTTAATCCTCGATATATTCTTCAGGTGGTAGTATGCAGACCTAATGACTGTTGTAATGTGGCTGTTGAAATTCAGGCCTGAGTACATCACTACACCCAGATTTCTTGCTTTGTGAGTTACTTTGTAGTCTGCCGACTGAAGCTCTGTGATTACTTTTAATCGGTCCTTCTTTGCTCCAAAAACAATGATCTCAGTTTTTTGTTTGCTCAGTTGGAGAAAGTTCTGAGTCATCCAGTCAGTGATGTGCTCAATGTTCTAATCGGAGAATAGTCTCCCGGTGTGATTTTAAAATAAATCTGGGTGTCGTCTGCATAGATGTGATAACTTAGATCGCTCTTTTTAATAATTTCAGCCAGAGGTAGCATATAAATATTAAAAAGCAAATGTGGAGCCTTGAGGAACCCCGCATGACAAGTTTTTCTGTCCTTTAAGTAGGTACTAAACCAATTTAGAGCTGTTGCTGAAACTCCCTCCCAGTTTTCTAGTAACCACTGTTTTATGACGTTCTAGAAGCTTCAGACATTCACCTGTTGGGTATTTACTTACGTATTTATATCGTAGAACAAAACTTGAAAATCTCTCAAGCTTGTGTTGACCACAGATCTTAATTCGGGAATCTAGCCAAAAAACGTCAGGACGATGGAACCGGATGTTGTAACATGCTGACTCATTTCCGGGTTCTAGGACTCATTCTTGCACCAATCCATTCATGTAGCTGCATGAACAAACAGTGAATATTTGGTTAATCCAAAGGTTCGTTAATGAGTTTGGTTTAGAAGAGCATTTGGGGAGCTAAATGTGTTATTAGTTGAAATGGTCCGATGTAAATGTGGAGCGGCTCTTTGCTGAGCGTCTCTGCTCTCTCCTCAGTTGTGATCCAGTCATCAGGAGGTCTCAGTAAAGATGACATCGAGAACATGATCAAGAATGCTGAGAAGTACGCAGAGGAGGACCGCAGGAGGAAGGTAAAGACCGGAAACGCTGAAGTGCATTACCACCACAACAATGAGTCCATTTATTTTGAAGTGGCTTTTAAGACGCAAGTCCAGGTTGATTTGGCTCAGAGTTTCAGTAGTTCCATAGAATGTCCCTTATTTCTGCCCCCTCACTTACAGGCAGGAGACTGTGCATATATCAGCACAGGTATCATACCTGTGATATCATATATATATATATAATGATATATCATATCACAGGTATCATACAATGCACTATGTAAAGAACTCTAGTATATGTATTATATTCTAATGTTTAAAGTGTATATACATTTTAAACTACTATACTAGGGTTCTTTAACAGCATCTTTTCTTTGTTACATGTACTGCAAATATATTAATATTGCAATACTTTCATCAGAGGCTCAATCACCATGATTGTTTGTCATTAGACCATAGTCAGACTCTAGACATTTGTTTACTTACATGAAATCCTCCAGTTAGAGTATTTGGAATCTCTCTACATAGTTGTGGTCATTTACAGATCTGTTAGCTCTAACTCTCATTTGGTTGTTGACAGGACCGTGTGGAGGCCGTCAACATGGCTGAGGGCATCGTCCACGACACAGAATCCAAGATGGAGGAGTTCAAGGATCAGCTTCCTGCTGATGAGGTAACATTACTCTTTGTTGTTCAAACTAGCTAATACACAACTCAGCATTTCTGAGGACACTGAAAACAAAGTGTAGCATCTGCTCTATAATACTAAATAACAGACATTTCCAGATGTACTTCACCTTTCTTTATGGATATCATTATTGAGGAAATGGGTGGTAACATTTATATAGCTCCCTGAATAATGATCCTGAAGAACCTGCCAACATGTAACACTCTCTGCTGGACTATCCTTTTGTACCGCCTTTTTATTATTATCATTATTCTGATGGTTAATCCTCCAGTGTGTACCCTAAAGACTCAAAACTCACCTCCTTCCACTCCACTTCGAGCAATACAATTACTATCAACGCACTTATATACTAACTAAGCCCTTATATACTAGCTAAGCCCCCTTATATACTAGCTAAGCCCCCTTATATACTAACTAAGCCCTTATATACTAACTAAGCCCCCTTATATACTAGCTAAGCCCCCTTATATACTAACTAAGCCCTTATATACTAACTAAGCCCCCTTATATACTAACTAAGCCCTTATATACTAACTAAGCCCTTATATAATACTAACTAAGCCCTTATATACTAACTAAGCCCTTATATACTAACTAAGCCCTTATATACTAACTAAGCCCTTATATACTAACTAAGCCCTTATATACTAACTAAGCCCTTATATACTAACTAAGCCCTTATATACTAACTAAGCCCTTATATACTAACTAAGCCCCCTTATATACTAGCTAAGCCCCCTTATATACTAACTAACTAAGCCCCTTATATACTAGCTAAGCCCCCTTATATACTAACTAAGCACTTATATACTAACTAAGCCCCTTATATACTAACTGAGCCCTTATATACTAACTAGCCCCCTTATATACTAACTAAGCCCTTATATACTAACTAAGCCCTTATATACTAACTAAGCCCTTATATACTAACTAAGCCCTTATATACTACTAAGCCCCCTTATATACTAACTAAGCCCCCTTAGTCTAAGCCCCCTTATATACTAACTAAGCCCCCTTATATACTAACTAAGCCCCCCTTATATACTAGCTAAGCCCCCTTATATACTAACTGAGCCCCCTTATATACTAACTGAGCCCCCTTATATACTAACTGAGCCCCCTTATATACTAACTGAGCCCCCTTATATACTAACTGAGCCCCCTTATATACTAACTGAGCCCCCTTATATACTAACTGAGCCCCCTTATATACTAACTGAGCCCCCTTATATACTAGCTGAGCCCCCTTATATACTAACTGAGCCCCCTTATATACTAACTAAGCCCCCTATATACTAACTAAGCCCCCTTATATACTAACTAAGCCCCCTTATATACTAGCTAAGCCCCCTTATATACTAGCTAAGCCCCCTTATATACTAGCTAAGCCCCCTTATATACTAGCTAAGCCCCCTTATATACTAACTAAGCCCCCTTATATACTAACTAAGCCCCCTTATATACTAACTAAGCCCCCTTATATACTAACTAAGCACTTATATACTAACTAAGCCCCCTTATATACTAACTAAGCCCCCTTATATACCTTATATACTAGCTAAGCCCCCTTATATACTAACTAAGCACTTATATACTAACTAAGCCCCCTTATATACTAACTAAGCCCCCTTATATACTAACTAAGCCCCCTTATATACTAGCTAAGCCCCCTTGTATACTAGCTAAGCCCCCTTGTATACTAACTAAGCACTTATATACTAATAAAGGACTGGCTTACCTAAAGCCAGTTGAGTAGCACTTGAAATGTTTGGCTCTATGAAACCTGATGTACTTATATGATTCTGTTTTCTTCAAGTTTGTATTTTCTTGGTCGAATGTACTTATTGTAAGTCTCTTTGGATAAAAGCCTCAGCTAAAGACAATGTAATGTACCCCTCATGTATTTTTCACACGAGCCATCTTTATTCATTCCTGTTTCCTCTCCGTCCGTCCTCAGTGCACCAAGCTGAAGGAGGAAATCACCAAGGTCAGGGACCTTCTGGCCAACAAGGACTCAGAAACGGGAGAGAACATCAAGCAGGCGGCCACCACCCTGCAGCAGGCCTCACTCAAACTCTTTGAGATGGCTTACAAAAAGGTAGGAACATGTGTGCTAAACATATCCCAGCGCAGAGCTGTCATTTCATTCCTGTGGAAAAAACGTTGTACTTTCATACCGTTTGGGAAAATGTAGTTTTAATTGCTACTCGATTCAAACTGTTAAATGTCCCTGCTAATGAGAGCAGTAACTAACAAATGGTATATCTCTTATTGAAGATCGATTTTTGGGGTGCTTTTAATCTAGACCTGTTTTTACTATCACCAGACAAAGAAAAGCAGCTTACAATGTAACACTTACCTGGGTGTTGGTACGGTTCTGGTTCCTGTTTTGGTCATGTTGATTAGTTTTATATCAGTTCTTGATTTCACAGGAAAAAAAACTATTTATACAAATGTGTTTGCCTTTTTATTTGATTTTAGATTTTAATTCACAATACACACATTTATGAGACTTCAATTCAGTTGCTGTTAACGAAAACTGTATTTGACATTTTTCCATAATAGATGTTTGGAATAGTACAGAGTAAACGCTGTCTTTATTTTAGTAACAAATGCCATGGTTCTCACTGACCTTATTGGCGAGAACGATTATAATATCAGTTGTAAATGAAGTGTTTGCAGTTTGAGTGACAGTGTTTGTGGTTCCCCCCCCCCCTCCAGATGGCAGCAGAGCGTGACGGCAGCAGCGGCAGTGGCAGCAGCAGTAGCGGCGGCAGTAGCGGCGGCAGCAGCAGTGGTGGCAGCAGCGGCAGCTCGGGCTCTTCAGAGGGCGAGAAGAAGGAGGGACAGCAGTAGATCTTTCACTTGTGTGTCAGTGTTTCCATGACAACGGTGGACCCTTGAGCGACGAGCTGAAGTCATTCTCACTATAATATATTATTCTACTGTGTTTTGGCAGTAAAATCCTCTAGCGAAATGATAAATGTCAATGTAGGCTCCTCCATGTCTGTCTGTAATTTAATTGTCCAAATCAAAGTCTGTTTATTTTTACACAGCTGTTGATTTACATTCTGAGGTAGTGAAGGTTCTGTTTTGTAGGTTCCATGTGGTTCTGCTCCATCCTCTGAAGAAGCTTGTCCATGGCTCTGATCATTTCATGTTTGTACCAGTTGAGCGGAGGACAGCCCTATGCAGTCTATAATGTAATATTGTGCTCTGCATCAGTTGGAGCATCTTGTTTTTAAAAGTGCGCTCATAGCAACCTGGAGGTGGGAAGTTACTGTATAAAACACTTTAAATACATGAGCCTTGTTCTGTCAGAAACGTGTCACTTGTCCTGGGTTCACTCTCAAGAGTTCTAAACCAATGCACATCTGTGATAATAATTCATTAGTCACGTTGGAGATCTGGAATTATGATCCTATTTGCCCTTATTTCTTCAACAACACGAGGCTTGCTACGTTGGGTCTTGTTTTATCCATATCTGACATTTTTAAACTGCTGGTGAAGCAGTGATAAGGGGGAAGGACAGAAAATAAATCAAATCTGTGTGTGGATGAGGTCAACCTTAGGTTTTCTTTTCTCATTTAATAAGAATGTAAAGCCTTGATTTGTGAGAACCCCAATTATTATTTTTTATATTTGCGTCCTTACTCAGCGTTCTGACTGAAACCATGTCTGAAAGATCTGCTGGCTAAACTAGCAACACAATCATCTGGTTTTGAAATGGAACAATTGAGGATGAGGCCTGGGTTTACTTCAGACAGATACTGGAATGCAGGATGAGCCTGGCCCGGTCATGCCTGCTGCCACAAAGTGCTCTGTGCAGTGTACCATCTGCTACTGGCTTGCCTGATAGTGTTCCATTGGACTCTACTCTTGAAAAGAGCGGTGAGGCAGCGTGTAGAACTGAATTAGGGGACGATCTGTTTTCTTTTTGTGTGGGCGGGATTATATAATGGAGTGGAAATTGAGGGCCAAGATAATAGTTGCTGTCTTTTCTAATAAAACATCTGAAATTTGAAATGTTACCCTGCTGTGATTTCATATTCCTTAGTGCATGCTAAAGTTTACTTCAATCTGTCAAGTCCTTATGTTTTAAATGTCCCCTATTATACTGTTTTTCATCAATATATTACAGGTCTCAGATATATACAGAACATGTCTCTGAAGGGTTTGGCTCCAAACACCAAACAGATCATTGCAGCGTCCCATAATCCTCTCTGTTTCGAGGAGTCGAGGAGGGGAAATGAGAAACCTTCCGTGTGTGAAGAAGCAGGAAATAAAAAGGAACTCACCTTGTCACCGGCAAGAGAGAAATCCTTTGAGCTCCAAACTGTTTCAGAGAGAATCCTTGATAATCCATGATATGGCGTTTCATCACGGCAGTATTTAGTTTAGACGGTAGCTGCCGGGTCCCGCATGAGCTCAAACCCCTTTTCTTTCTTTTCTTTTACACATTTCTTTATTTTTTAAAGCTGTATACATAAAATCAGCACTTTTGAAACGGGAAGTGAAATAGAGGGATATGTTGGTTATTTAGACTCATGTATTGATCATGGTATTTTGAGCAAAACACTTCATAGACATGTTTTTTATATATCTGAGACCTATGCTATTGCCTAAAAATAGCATGATAGGTGACCATTAAAGTGCATCCATCAGGTATTTTGTTAAAAAGATGTCATCAATTTTACACGTTTTTAATTTTGGCATCCTTAAACTTCACTCTATCCCAGAGGACAGGGGCGGACTGGGACTAAAATTCAGCCCTGGAATCTGACCCAGACCGGCCACATTCGGGGGGTGGGGGGCGGTGGCATCAGAACAAAAAATTACAATAGCCTACTATTTATGCAGTTCAAGGGATAATTCTCACCTAAAGAGGGCAGACACTCCTCAGATGTCTTAAACACATGGGACATCGTAAACACACAAACATACAGTACTATTTGTAATTAGCCTAGTTATTAGAAATCAGCTGTTTATTAGGATGCATTAATGCAGTTCAAGGGATACTTCTCACCCACCTCTTGCTCTTGCCCATGCTCTTGTATGTGCCAGTTGAGCTGGTTCTTCCACCAGCTCAACTCTCTGTCCCTCATCATGAACGCAGGAGGCTGGCTGTTCTGAACTTGCGCCCTCATCATCATTCTCTTCATCATCTTGCACTTGTTCTAAACTGCTGATGATAGTGCTCGTAGCAGCGCTGCTGCCAAAAAGATCTGTCAATTTGCGACATTTATATGCTTCACCTGCGAGTGACTTCACCATTTTTCCTCTTGCCTTCTCGCCCATGGATGTTGTAGAGTTATATTTGTATTTATTCATGTTAGCAAACTATGGATAAGCTTAAAATGAGAATAATTTGGGTAAAACTGTGAGCTGCATTTGGGGCCTGTTGACATGTGTTTTTGAGGACAAAGGAAGATGGGGGAAGGGGAGAGCATGTCCTGATTTGCATTCAACTTAGATCTAGCTGCAGTGTTTGTGAGGTTAAGAGAGGTCTCTTGGGTTTCTCTGGTGCTTATCAATAGTAGCAGTTAAGTGAATACTGTTCAAACAATACCTGTGTTTGTGTTTTATATTGATTTCTCTGTTTTATCCTTTCATAAATGTAAGGACTACAAATGGCTATAAACATTCTGGGCTGGTTGGAGTAAACAGGGTTTTATGGCTCTGTGGGGGAGGTGTAGGTATGCAGGCCTTGAGACCTTTTGTTGGAAAGTGAGCCTGTTTGGTTTCCTGCTGCGTTTCCTGCTGCGTTGCGTCTCCCAATGAGATGACCTGAAAAGATGACCAGCTGACCTAACACCAAACCCCTCCTTCTTACTCTGGTATATATCCGGTGGATCCCTGGCGTTCGGCCTCTTCTTCACATGCTGCCCTCGGGTGAAAGTAGCTCTGTAGTATGCGGACTAGAGCAGGAGTAAGCCGGCATTACTCCTTAAGCATTGCAATATAACTGTAATATATCATGTTGTATTGTAATGATTGTATTGCATTGTCATATTGCCATTAAAGTAGATTATTGTTAACGGTTACTTTGTAGCTATGGATTCCTTCCTGTATTATAACCAGCTTCATAGGAACGCGCGGAGATTTGAAAAGCGGACCAGTTATCCCTCCAAATCTCCAACAATGTATAATAAGAACCCCACCGTTTTCTTTGATTTGTATCCATGTTTTTTTCAATCTCCCTGTCTGCCGCATGGGTCTGCCGCGGCGTCTAATCCCTTCTCTTCGTGTGGCCGGTCTTTTTTCTTCTTCGTGTGTGATTATTTGACAGATAATAACCACACAACTGCATTAGCGGCCGCTTTCGCCCTCTGTCGGCCGTCAGCGCAACTTAAAAGATGACGTTAAACACATTTTTTTAAAGGGCCGACCGGCCGTCAACAGCCCTTGACGACCGGCCGTTCTGTGGTTCTCCAGATTCTACAGATGGCCAGTCCGCCCCTGCCAGAGGATGTAGTCAAGGACCATTGTGAGGGCAACCTTTACCACTGAGTGTGTGGACATCTGGCATTTCTTAAAGGCGGTTCCTACACCTCCATATTCCTTCTTTTAAGCAATTCATTAGAGCCCACCATCGTTGGTGTCTTTCAGGATCCTTGGGGTCTAAATCGACGTAAAGTACATCTTACTCATTGGGTCCCCTATAAAGACCGGTGAGCCATGGCCTTACGGTCCCCCACACACTTTTCACACAGGAACAATACCAAAGATCAGCCACATTTTCCTCAAAAGGACAATTGAATATGGGGCATTTTTCACGCTTTCGTAGGGAGACAACTATGTGCTGTTTTCCGTGCCAAATCCTTATGGGAATTAAAAAGGAATGGTGAGTTTACATTTTTCCATACATGCATGCATTTTTGTTCTGTTAATGTCCCTTTTGGTATTAGGCTTGTAGTCAGAGGTGCTAGGCTTTTTTCAACACAACTTACAGGCAGGGTGGCCCTAGTTTCCCACCTACGGAGTTTCCCTTTGATTGCTGGAAGTCTGATATCCTAAAAATCAACGTCCGGTGAGACCGAGGACCGAGGAAATGACAAATAAGTAACTTGAGATCGACCCAATATAGTGTCCACTTTAGCACTAAAGAGTTAAGCAATTTAACATTTTAGATAATGGATGCTTAAGGATGGGAAGGACAAGGACCCTACTGACCCAAAGCTTACACAAATAGCAGAGGATGGTTTCGATCCATCGACCTCTGGGTTATGGGCCCAGCACGCTTCCGCTGCGCCACTCTGCTCGCCTCTTTAAAGAACAGACCCATTACTTAACAGCCCCTCGCACTTCTCGGGGTTGTTTTACCTCCTTCCACAAGTAAAACAAACTGGAATATCACCTACTTTAATTTAAAAGAAGAAATATTCATCCATTTTTTTATATATGTTAAAAACACATAGCAAGGTGAAATAAAACGTTTCATGTCATGACAGCCCCCACTTCAGAAAACACAGTCAGCCTTCAAAATAAAAGCGCTGTAACAAATATACCTAAAAAACACACCAAACATATTCATATACTGGAGCTTAAATTAAGAAATATGTACTATATAATGTGATCAATAATAATTTAAAACAAACTACGTATAACTACCACATTATAAATGAGTGAATGTAAAATGTAATAACAGTTATGAAGACATATCTGACATTTCCACTGGGTGACTAATTTCAATTGATGTTGACACCATCTCACAACGCTCCTAAAATAACATTACTTTCTTCAATTCAATTAAATTCAAAACCTTTATTTATCCAGGTAAAATCCCATTGAGATCAATGATCTCTTTCTCAAGGGAGACCTGCAGCAGTAGGTTCCACAAGAAGACATAAAAACATAAACAACAGAACAACAAAAGGACATCATACAGCAAAATGTACAGGGATTACAATTTACATATTTAACCACAAGTACAGGTACCAACAGCATCTGATTTTGTAGCATCCAACCGAGCTTTAAAAACATGTAGTGGTACTAGCTTGGTAATTTTCCATTCTTTTTGCAGACTGTTCCATGTTAGTGGAGCTGCACATCTAAAAGCTTTCTTCCCTAAGACAGTCCTAGCACTTGGCACATTTAATAAAACCACAGCATGCGATCTCAGGCAATAAGTACTTTCAATTCGCAGAGAGATCAGGGAGCAGATATAAGGTGGTAGTTTATCCAACATGGCTTTGTAAATGAAAAAGTACCAGTGACTGAGCCTCCGTACAGTAAGTGATGGCAAAACCGCCTTGGTATACAGGGTACAGTGATGCGTAAGTGCTTTACAATTTGTCAAAAATCTCAGTGCACTGTGATACGCAGCATCTAACTTGCTCAGGTAATTGGCAGGTGCATTCATATATAACAAATCACCATAGTCCAGCACAGGTAAAAAGGTCACAGTGACTAGCCTTTTCCTGGCCTCAAGCGAGAAACAGGACTTATTTCTGTCAAAGAAACCTAGCCTAACCCTCAGCTTTTTAAGCAGGTTATTGACATGACGTTTAAAAGTGAGACAATCATCAAGCCAGATACCCAAGTATTTGTAACAGGTAACCACTTCAATTTTTATTCCTTGCGTAGTTACAATATCCAAAGTAGTCTCTGGTGTATTTTTAGCTTTAGCTTTAGAAAAGTGCATTACCTTGGTTTTATCCACATTTAAAAGAAGCTTAAGCTCAGAGAGCTGAGCCTGAATAATGTTAAAACAGCCTGTAATTTAACAACAGCCTCGTTAATCGAGGGACCTGCACAGTACATAACGGTATCATCCGCATAAAAATGTAAGGTTGCTCCATCGACATTTTCACCTAAACTATTAATATAGATAGAGAATAAAAGTGGACCTAAAACAGAACCTTGTGGTACACCATTAGTGATGTTTAACCACTCAGAAGACAGCCCATCAAAGTGAACACATTGGGACCTTTCAGAGAGGTAATTCACAAACCACCCACTGCATGGCTGGACATGCCAATACTGACCAGCCTTTGCTTCAAAATGCGATGATCGACGGTATCAAAAGCTT